ATGGTTATGGAAGTGTGTAGTCATTTATACGAAGAGTACTATACGGTACCAAATTTGGATTTAGGTTAACCGATAGAGCTGGAATGCGGAAATTTGACTGGTATTAAATTTTGGGTGAACCTATATTTGAAATTTGGATTTTTTATACCCATCACCACACTGTGGTACAGGGTATTATCTCTTTGTGCATACGTTTGTAACTGTCAAAAGGAATAGAGATAGACCCATGGTCCCTTCCTGAGTCGATTTATGCATGTCCGTCTATCCGTCCATGAATTTTAGTGAACAAACTACCGGTCACATTTATAATCCGATTTGGATGAAATTTGGCACATGTAACTTATTTGGCCCAAGGACGAACTCTATTGAAATTGGAGAAAATCGGTGCAGATATAGATAGCTCCCATATATAGTTTTGTCCGATTTTATATAAATTGAGCACCATACTGTCAATATTGGTCCGATTGAGACAACATTTTGCACAGAGTACTGCATTAGGTCTAGATTGATAAATGCCAAGTTTTGTTGAAATCGGTTCAGATTTAGATATAGCTTCCATATATAGTTTAGTCTGATTTTATGTAAATGGAGCACCATAGTACCAATATTGGTCCAATTGAGACAAAATTTTGCACAGAGTATGGAATTAGGTCCAGATTGATGTATGTGAAGTTTTGGTGGAATCGATTCAGATTTAGATATAGCTCCCATATTTAGTTTCGTCCGATTTAAGTAAATGGTGCACCAAACTCCCAATATTGGTCCGATTGAGACAAAATTTTGAACAGAGTACTAAATTAGGTCCAGATTGATATATGCAAAGTTTTGTTGAAAGCTGATAATGGGGTCGGTCGCCGGTGAATATTTCCTATTGTTAACGAATTGACGCTAAAATCTATACCACAAGAGCACTGAAAAATATATTTCACTGTATTCCAGAAATTGTAGACAAATTGCCGTACGTTTCATCTTATTTTTCTCAATGATTGAGATACTATGATACCCATGAAATTTATTTCCATTTAATACAGATTTAAATATTCTATGTCATAACAATACAATATAAAAGCAATAGCAAGAAATCAGGAAAATAAGTGGAAATACCCAACAACACCCCCACCACTTATCTGTCACTCTCATTTCCCATTGTGCGATAATTGTGGTGGTTGGTGTATGCATGCATTGTGAGGCATTGAGAATAGATTTCAATTTAAAAAGATCATCATAGATTTGACCTTATGTCAAATAAATTGAAATGTTTTCACATAGGCAAATGATCATCAATGGAATCAAAACGATAATTTATAACGGGAATAAGAAATGGGATTCAACAATATAATTGGCTATCAAGAGATAGATTATGATGTTGATGATAATAGAGTAGAAATGTGTACAAAATATTTGTTGTGTGTGCTCTTATGTTGTCTTTACTCATTGAAATTGAAATATTGAGATATGGAATTTGAAAACTTTTTCTTTGAAAACTATTGAAAGATTCAAAACACATTTTATGGTTAACCAAAAATCATTTCTTGAATAAATAAACAAATACACAATGTTTTGTTTTTGGATTTGAAAATAAGTTTTGATTGTAACGCTGGTGTGGCAACAAAGTTATGATGGGACGACTGACTATTTGGTGGCTCCTCATTCAAAGTTGATAAAGAAGCCAAACAAAACAAAAATTCAAAAATCATAAACAATGTCTAGAAATTATTTTATTTGAATACCATTATCTGTGTGAATCATCTTCTTCTTCTTTTTCTATTGATTCAATTTTACATAATTCCAATAACAAAAAAATATGCTGGTGATTGGTTTCATCTTCTTCTCCTTTGTACTCTACATTTCAATTCTATTCATATGTTAATCTAGAAATTGAAAGTCATTGAAGAGTAGGTGAAAATTAATCGTATACTACAAATATATCTGGGTATATTTGTATGTATGCATGTGTGTGTTTATTTATTTGTTTTTTTTTTTAATATTATTTGAATTAACTATTTAACCATTCACAAATGTGCAACCTACACACCAGCACCACCAACGGACGGACAAGGTTAACATCGCCAGTTATTCTACCAAAAACCGCAACAAGTGTTCGTTGTTGTTTTTGTTTTTGGATTTTTATTAATACACGCTTCAATAAATACATTTAGAATCGAATAACTCGAGTAAACGATTAGTTAATTTTTTTCATTTTTAATTTCAATTTCCTCGATAATTGTAAAACATTCTAACAGCTATAATTACAAATTCAATGGAAATGTGTGGAGTGTGGAGGAAATTGAATTGATAATAATTATTTAATGAAAAAAGAGGAGGAAATATACAAAAACAAATTATGTAGATGACAAAATTCGTGGAAAATTTTTTGGTTGCTTATTGAATTCCCAAAGGTGTCATTGGTGTAGGAAAACATGGGCTTGTAACAATAATCATGATTTTTATTATGCCGGTCATTAATGCCGCCCAGGAAGACTTCAATCTTGTCCGTTTTAACGGTTATTGACTTCGAGGCATAATGATTAGCCACGGGTGACGTCAACGCCCACCATTTTCCACAAGCTTGGGGATTCGAGTTGGATTTGTTACAGACAAACATTTTATTAACAAGTTAACATTTGTTATACCTTCATCAAAAGGTGGACATTCAAAATATCTAAAATCGATTGGGATTTTATATGGAGGCTAAAATATTGATAGGAAAATGTGATAGACACCTAAGATATGAAATTATAGTCAATTCGGCACAAACCCATACCCAAAATCCCAATGTATTTAAATTATGAAATCTACCCTGAAACTTAAATCATTTTTTAGAATTTTTGGTAGGAAGATTAGCTACCCTATGCGAATCCAAGATAATAAATTACGCCAATTGGGTTGTAACACACACCCAAATATCTCAAAATACAGAAAATTGGGGTTATCGTTATATTTGGGAGCTACATAAGAAAGTAAATTAATATTGATAATATTTGGTATTGAGTGATGAGGGGGAATGCGACCCTATGAGAACCCAAAATACAAAATTACGGAAAAGTCGGACGGGGCCGACTGTATGATACCCTTCACCACTTTGGGTACATACAAAAGATGCTCATATGTACAATATCCTTTCGATAGAATAGACAGAGTACCATTTATTATTTAAACTCAATTAAAAAATGTACATAAAATCGGACGAAACTTTATATGGTAGCTATATCTAAATCTGAACTGTATCCAACACCGAGCAAAATTTTGTGCCAATCGGCCTAACTTTGACTCTTTGGTGCTTAATTTACATAAAATCGGACGAAAATATATATAGGAGCTATATCTAAATCTAAACCAATTTCCACAAAATTTCGGGGACGTCAACCTGCAGTAATCGCAATACGGATATTAACATGTAGTAACTTCAATACACTATACAAAATTTTGTCTGAATCGGACAAACATTGATAGTATGGTGCATCATTTACATAAAATCGGACGAAGCTATATATGGGAGCTATATCTAAATAAATATAAATATATATATCTAAAACCGATTCCAATAAAACTTCGCATACATCAATCTGGACATAATTTAGAGCTTTGTGAAAAATGTTGTCTCAATCGGAACAATATTGGCAGTATGGAGCTCAATTTACATAAAATCGGACGAAACAATATATGGGAGCTATATCTAAAGCATAACCGATTTCAACAAAACTTGACACAGAGCTAATTAAGTACTCTGTGCGAAATTTTGTCTCAATCGGACCAATATTAGCAGTATGTTGCTCCATTTACATAAAATCGGACTATATATGGGAGCTATATCTAAATCTGAACCGATTCCAATAAAACTTCTCATACATCAATCTGGACCTAATTGAGTACTCTGTGCAAAATTGTGTCCCAATTGGACCAGTATTGGGAGTTTGGTGCACCATTTACATAAAATCGGACGAAACTATATATGGGAGCTATATCTAAATCTGAAGCGATTGTTCCCAATTTCAATAGGGTTCGTCCTTGGGGAAATAAGTGACATGTGCCAAATTTAATTTGAATCGGATCATAAACGGATAGATGGACATGCATATATCTACTCAGAAAGTGATTCAAGCATATTCACAAAATGAACCATCTCGATTCCTTTGCCCGTTACAAACATATGCAATAAGACATAATACCCTGTACCACAGTGTGGTGAAGGGCATAAACATGTTTATCAAAAAAAGGAAACCAATATTAAAAAATATTTGATAGATTTGCTACCCAGTGAGAATCCAAAATATCAAATTATAGCTAATCCGATAAAAAAACCCCTGCCCAAAATAACGAAAATTTTAGTGTGGCGTTATAGTGGACTCATGATATCAATACGTTAACAGATAACTTCCATTCTCGATATTTCTCCAGTCCATGAAATATTAAAAAATCTAAGCTGATTGTACTCTACAAATTAAGGTTGAAAAAAAAGCACATGGACTGGAGATAGAAGGATTCTTAACACAAGGACTTTCATTCCCATAAGGAATGAGTCATGAGAGCTCAATTTTGAAGTTATTTAAAAAATATTTCTAAAATATAAATATTCTCTGAAAATCCAGGCATACACACCTATTCGTGCTGCTTAATTTGGTAGATATTCTCAGACAATCCATGCATATGACTCTGCAAGTCGTTGACAAAGTTTTCTTTAAAAAATCCATCTCTTGGCCATTAACATAACATTGATGGGATTATTTAATATGTTCTCTGATGTTGGGGTTATCTAATATTTTCTCTCTGTTGCCGGGGTTAAGTACTCCCCACAACAAATACTTTTCAAATTAATGATTTCAACAAATTAATTTAAATATTTTATGCAAATATAGGTCGTCGTTGGGTAGCATTTTATTACTTCATGCCACAATTATCACTTCTTTCTTACCTAACAATATACATATATTTACTTAAATAATTCAACCTTGAAATACACAAACAACAACAAAAAAATAATAACAATAAAAATCACTTACCTTACTGTTGTGTCATTACTACCGGATACCACATATTCACCGGATGGATTGAAATCCAATGTTCGCACACTTTTCATATGACCATTCAATGTGGAGCATATTGTTTGTGCATTCAAATCCCATCGTCGTATAATACCGATATCATCGGCTGAATAGACAAAATCATCATTGTAGGCAAAACGGACACAATCCAAGGGGCGATTGTGACCCGTCAGTGACTGTGAAAAGAAAGAATGAACAATAATGACGTTTAAGATTATTTACAAACAATATTGCAAAATATTCCTTCAACTTACCATAAAACATTCTGTCTGTCCAATTGCCCATAAATTAACATTACGATCTTGGCCACCGGTAACTAAGACACGACCTGTTTCACCAACATCCAAGCAAGTAACGTTACCATTGTGTGCTTTTATCTCATCTATAATTAGAAAAAAATAATAATAATTATTTATTATTTAATAGAAAGAAAAAAAATAAACAACATCGGCATAAAATAAGTTTATTTGTAAATACAAAAAAAATATTATGAAGACAAAATCAAGGCAACATTTCTCAATAATTTATTATTAATTTAATTTAAGGTTATGTTTTAATTATGTGAAAAGGCACAAGACCAAGAGCTCACAATTTTTACCGAGGGCTCTGATATAAGATTTTTCCCATTCTCTAACGTTTTTCTTTTCGATAATTTTCCAAGTAAACTGCACATATTATGAGGGAAAATTTAATTGTGTGCATTTTGTTTACAAAAAACACATTTCAGCAGAAAGTTGACTCTATATTTTCGATATTGTCTACTGTTTCTCCGATTACTTTCCGAGTAATCTGCACATACTCTAAAAGGAAATTTTTTGAGAAAAAAGGAAATGATTGTAGTTTGATTTTTTTTTGGCTTTTTTGTTGACAAGCAGTCAAAGGGACAATGTGATTTGGGTAATAACAACAAATTGAAACCAGTAAGGAAAGTCCAAAAGTCGCACGGAGCCGACTATATGATACCCTTCACCACATACTTGGGTACATACAAGCGATGATTATGTTTACAATATCCTGTTGATAGAAGGGGCAAAGCATCTTTGGTTGACCTTTGACATGGAATCGGGTGAAAACCCAATTTTGGCTGTTTGGTGCATCATTTACATAAAATCGAACTAAACTATATATGGGTGCTATATCTAAATCTGGACCATTTCCAACAAAACTTGACAGATGTCAAACTGGACTAAATTCCGTACGCGGGGCAAAATTTTGTCCCAATCGGTCAAATACTTTTAGTTCGGTGCACAATTTACCTAAAATCAGACGAAACTATATATGGGAGCTATATCTAAATCTAAACCGATACCAACAAATCTTCGTATACAAAAATACATGGACGGACGGACAGACGGACATGCATAAATCGACAGAAAATAATTCTATGCATATTCTCAAAAGGAACCATGGGTCTATCTCGATTCCTTTTATCTGTTACAAACATATACACAAAAACATAATACCCTGTACCACAGTGAAGGTATAAAAATAAGGGTATAAAAATAATAAGCATAACTTCTTATAAATATAATCAAATGAAATTTAAGAACATCAACTCAAACTATAATGAAATGGAAGAAAGGCCTTTTACAGCCTGAAATCCCGAAATACATATTTATAGCCATCTCGATTTGATATGCCGCAAACACCTTAAAAAGAACGAAAATCAGGCGGAACTTATATATGAAATATTTGTACTACCGGGAGGGGGCCGGTAGTACAAAATGAAAAAATTCGTTGTTGCAAACATAAATTTACTGTAAAAAAAATTCATTAGGGTGGATTATATATTCTGATTTTTGACCCCCGCAACCAATCTTTAAGATGTTTCGATGTATGTTTGATTTTATTATCAAGCTGAAACAACTAAACAGGTGTCATATTTTCTACAGAGAGGGAGGCCATAGCGTTTTCGACACATTTGTAAAGACAATCCCGGTCCAGTACTTCATAATTCTCATAAATAGATCGAATTCTATAAAAAGAAAAACTTCTCCCTACCCATTATTGATCCAACAACATGCATCCCAGTTGCCTTGCAATACTAAAGTGTTAAGGCTTCCATTTTTTGGCCTTCTTACGATCAAATTTTTTATCTACGTCTTCATTATTAAACTTTAATCCATCCGAGGACATAATATTTCTCCACTGTGTCGGATTCCAATTAATAAAAGCTTTTGCGAAAGCCAATTCGACTTTCTGATTTTTTTCAGGAAATAAATTGATTCTTAGTTTCCTGGTATGTTGACCTGTTACCACAGCTCGTATGTACTCTGTTTCTGAGGTTATATCAAACGATTACCCTCTCTAAACAATTCCGTTTTTACCGCTATGACAATTTGATGATCAGTACGAACTGATGTTCGTTTGCAGCCTTCATCTATACTGAACTGTCACTACTGTTATAGTTGCATAAAACTGATTTATAATTCTAGAAATCACTGATTTATTCATGGAATATATCCGAAATCATTTTCTGTGATAAATTATTTTCACAATCACTGGAATTTAGCTGTTTTATTTTGTTCCAAGCCATTTTAAATATTTTTTAAGTAACTATAACGAAAAAAATAACTACAATTTTAGAGCTCATCTGTTTTACTGTAGAGTTGCTTTATTTTTGTCCAAGCAAAAACTGAGACAATTCCCTTATCCCTTATTATGTCATAACATGTACCTATAATGAAAATCTTATAAAACCTTAAAATTTCTGAGTGTAAAAAATGGATATATTTTAACTAATTTTTAAAAAGAGTAATCAAAAATAACAGCCCCTATTCTTCTGTTGGTAAAAGCGCATAGGACCATCTAAAGTCATTGTGATGAGGCTGTCAAAATACAAGCATATATTGAACATTTTCTGCGAAAAATTAACTTGGCATCGAAGAACCCGGAATATGGCAGTCCCTATTACGATAAATAAATCGAATTTTATTTTGATCAGGAATATACAGGCGAAATTGTTTATAAGTGTCACAAAAGTCCCGCAAAATGATCTACCCTTTATATGATATCGCCTAGAGCGAACAAATTCGCCTGTCCCTTATCCGTCGTTATAAGTAATTTCGACAGCATTTACTTTATGAGGTCTCCTAAGATGTTTTGTAAACCAAATGACAAATTTAATATAAACAAAAAAAAATTAAAAAAAAATACACAATTCGTGATAATTTTTAACAATCCTCGTACGTAAGGTTTATACTATCATGTCTTAAACATAACCAATATATAGGAGGTGATGCAAATGTGGTATACCCATTTGTTTTCAGATTGCCAAATTTTTATTTTTTACCCGATTAAATTGAAATTTTGCACTTAACATGCTACATGTGTTGTCTTTCCATGTATCAATTTGAAAATAATATTATTCTAACAATTTAAGAGATATTAGAGAAAATATTTGAAATCCCATAAAAAGTGATTTTAAAAAAAGTGCAGGTAATGTGGTATACCACATGATGTTAATGTGGTATAGTATAATTTTCACTTCCAATTGATATCTTATATAATTTATTGTTTTTAATGAATGCGAATTAGCTCGAGATAATTGTCTGTTAAAATTTTTAACGGATACGTTGAGTGCAACTTTAATTTTTATTCTATAATAACACAGTGACACATTTTTCAACTTTAAAATCTTGAACCAATCGAGACCCCCAAAATCTTGAAGCTTGTGATGGTGGAAGAAAATCCCTAGCTGGGTTTTGCATTATTAGCTAAGGATTTCTTTTAAATTAATTTTTAAAATATTCGACTGGGGCGGATTTTAGCACAATTTTCGAATAATACGTACTTATTATTGAGTCTATATCTCGTGAACTATTCGAAATATTGCTTTTCTCTCTTAAGCAATATTTTTCCTCTTAATTAGGTCTACAAATTTTCTCTTGAGATAAAATCAATAAAACAACAACATCATACTGAAAATAGCACAACTGCAAAAAAAATTTAAATTTAGACATACTTTTTCCATGTTTTTCACACTTATTTCAGAAACTGCTACTGACTCGGACAAAAAATATATGACAAAAAGATAGCCAATAGCAAATCAAACAACTCTTCTTAAAACCCCGATTTCATTGGTTGACTCCTTCACATAGTTATAGCCTCACAAATTCATCAAAATGAACCAAAGAAATTCACTCCCAATTGTATGTTTATAGAAATAAAAATTGCTATGCTTTTTTCAATAATTAGGTACAAAATTGAAGTAAAAATTAAACATGGAAAAAGTCGAAATTTTAATTTTCTTGGAGTTGTGCTATTTTCAGTATGATGGTGTTGTTTTATTGATTTTATCTCAAAAGAAAATTTTTAGATCTAATTAAGAGGAAAAATATTGCTTAAGAGAGAAAAGCAATATTTCGAATAGTTTACGAGATATAGATATAGTATTATTCGAAAATTGTGCTAAAATCCACCCCCAGTCGAATATTTTAAAAATTAATTAAAAAAAACGTAGCTAATAATGCAAAACCCAGCTAGGGATTTTCTTCCACCATCACAAGCTTCAAGATTTTGGGGGTCTCGATTGGTTCAAGATTTTAGTGCTGCACAGTGTAATTTCTATACATGGCAATATTTAATTTTTGTATGGAGAAGTTGTTAAAACTCATAGCCTTTGTTTTTCAACCTTGTGATTCATGGTAGACTCTCGTAAAGTACGAATGTTTCACATAGTAATGAGATTTTGTCTAGTGCTGGCCTTTTTTCATGCAGAATCAAGGTATACCACATTACCTACACTTGTGTTTACTGAAGAAATGTCTAGTTTTTTCCTAAATTGGTGATTATGTGGTGCAATCGCGCATATTATTTGATTTTTAGTTCATACTAATTATTTTAATGCTTTAGTAATAACGATTAAATTACATCCGTAAAACAAAAAATTATTTTTAAACTTCAACCGAAAAAAAGTCAATTTCATGAAAAATTTTATTTTTGGTACTGATTCTCAACGTGATTTAAATAAATTAAACAGGTCATTGCTATTTAATTTTTTTGAGAACAGCAAACTATAGAACATGTTTCAGTTATTCTAAAATTTTCAGTTTACAAAAAAAGTGACTATACCACATTACCAACCTATACCACATTTGCATCACTTCCACTATTCTCTATTGCCGGTTTAAATGCAGCCGTCATGTTCTTATTTGCCAACCACGATGATCATGGGAAAAATACAAAGATAAATTCAAGGGCTAAATAAAAATTATTATTATGCGGCATTGAATTTCAATTAAGTATGCCTCTAAGTCATTGAAAATATTTCTCAAAATCAAAATATATTAAAATTCAAATATTTCGTAATTAAGTTCGTAATTACTCGTTTATCGAATTCTATCACTCAACAATCAAAATACCCTTTAAATAGTTGAAGAAAACTTCATCCCTTTATTTATGTTGCGACACTCTCTCTCTCTCAATATTATTGGAGATGGCCAAAAAAGGAAACGAGACAAATACAAGGAAAAATATTTATAAACAAAAAGCAAAAAAAGAAAGAAGGAAAGAAAAGCGGCCGGTCAATTTCCACAATTTCCGAATTTACTTTACCGTTAAAGCAAACAAAAAAAGTTTGCCGCACTGACATGAGCAAACAAACACACACAAAAAAACTACTGCCGGTAGGGAAAGGTGGGGCTGCCGGCAAGATAAGATGACACCATTAAAACGATACATGGGGTATAAAATAGAGAATGAAACAAAAAAACACAAATAGATGGAGACGCATACGAATCGTAACAAAGCAAAAACTAAAAACAAAAAAGCAAAGCAAATGAAATGAAATCAAACAATATTTTTGCATAACCTTGCATGGTGTGTTTTTCTCCCTCTCATTAAAATTCTTATTAATAGTGGAAGTGATGCAAATGTGGTATAGGTTGGTAATGTGGTATAGTCACTTTTTTTGTAAACTGAAAATTTTAGAATAACTAAAACATGTTCTATAGTTTGCTGTTCTCAAAAAAATAAGATAGCAATGACCTGTTTAATTTATTTAAATCACGTTGAGAATCAGTACCAAAAATAAAATTTTTCATGAAATTGACTTTTTTTCGATCGATGTTTAAAATTTTTTTTTTGTTTTACGGATGTACTTTAATCGTTATTACTAAAGCATTAAAATAATCAGTATGAACTAAAAATCAAATAATATGCGCGATTGCACCACATAATCACCAATTTGAAAAAAAAACTAGACATTTCTTCAGTAAACACAAGTGTAGGTAATGTGGTATACCTTGATTCTGCATGAAAAAAGGCCAGCACTAGACAAAATCTCATTACTATGTGAAACATTTGTACTCTACGAGAGTCTACCATGAATCACAAGGATGAAAAACAAAGGCTATGAGTTTTAACAACTTCTCCATACAAAAATTAAATATTGACATGTGTAGACATTATTATATAATAAAAATTTAAGTTCCACTCAACGTATCCGTTAAAAATCTTAACAGACATAAATCTCGAGCTAATTCGCATTCATTAAAAACAATAAATTATATAAGATATCAATTGGAAGTGAAAATTATACTATACCACATTAACATCATGTGGTATACCACATTACCTGCACTTTTTTTAAAATCGCTTTTTATGGAATTTCTAATATTTTCTCAAATATCTCTTAAATTGTTACAATAATATTATTTTCAAATTGATACATGGAAAGACAACACATGTAGCATGTTAAGTGCAAAATTTCAATTTAATCGGATAAAAAATAAAAATTTGGCAATCTAAAAACAAATGGGTATACCACATTTGCATCACCTCCTATAATCTCTCTCGGTCAATGAGTGTTGTGATGATGCATTTGACATGTATTAAAATTCTGTTTGGAGAACATAAATACTTATTGACATGTACGGCTATGTTTTGGAGAACATAACATATGCATGTCAATCATCTGCTATACCCCCACCACCCGCACATAACATAACACAAAATAACACACGACGCACATAATAATAAACAAAGAAATGCACGAAGAACACAAATGACAATACTACTTACATATTCTTTCGGTTAATTTACGCGCTAATGCCATCACTTATTAGCCACTTTTCTTTGTAAAGGAGAGGAGGAGTTTTATAAATGTGATTTGGTTTATTTTTTCTATTATTATGGTTTGTTTTGATTGACTTTGCTTTACACACACACACACACACAAAACAAGAAAAAGGGCTATTGATCAAACGATTAGACGGCAGATGAATGTATGCTTAGCAGTTGGGGTTTTTCTATAGTGTTGTTGTTGCTGATGATGTCGTTGATTCTTTTGCTGCTGCTTCTTCGTCTTTGTTTTGCCTTTGCATACAAACAAATACAACAACAATCACGATGACAAAACAAAAGTAAGTAAGTAAACGTTAATTTTTGTTTTTGCTTTTGACGTTTCTTTTTTACCACCACTGACTGTGAAAGACAACGACGACGACGACGAACTATACGGTCGGCGGTGTTCGCTCACTCTTTCCACGGCACTTAGTCATTAACACACTCACTCACTGGCTACTATTCACTAACTTTTTTCCCCACTTTTATTGTTGTTGTTGTATTGATTGGAAAAAAGAGGATTTTTTTTATTTTTTTTGTTAAATTCTTCTTACACACAACTCTTTAGCTATGCTTATGCTCACTCTTTACGAGACTTTCCACTTTTAGCTATTGAATGCTTCTACCGTTGCCGTGTAATGCATGCCACATTTAGATCTTCGAACCAAATTAGCTCAAGAATTCTTCACATTTGTCGATTCCAATTGTGTTGTGTGGCTGCTACTTGGTTATTGAGCTGCTGCTGCTGTTGTTAGTTGCAATTGGATTTTTTCTCTCTTTACTTTTTTTTATTCACTACTCAATTCAATTGTATTATTTTTACACCTAAATATATTTATTTATACATGTACATATATGTATGCATGCATGTAAGTACACTGTGCTGATGTGATGATATGGACGTATTATTATGTATATTAGGCTTTTGTTGGTTGTGTTGTACTTTTTCTTAGCCACAATTGGACGACGCACTGTTGTGTTGTGTTTTATACAATTTTTTACTCCTTTCTTTTTCGGATTTTTTGGGGTATTTTTGAAATCATAGGAAAACTATTGACGTGTGTACGGGTTTCTTACACAAATGACAATCGGACACAAAACACTTTATTATTCCACTTTTTTTGCAATTGCCAATCTGTCACTATGAACACCGCATTACAAATGCACAATTTTTTTAGATTTTATTTTTTTCTAATTTCTTTTTTTGACACAAACTGTTGCGTACGTTTTCTTAAGCTTTTTGCACACCGAGCAAAACCACTAAACAATTTCTGTAAAATTGTTTTATTTCGCGTATAAACGGACGACAAGACAAGAAATTAAAAACAAAACAAAACTAATCAATTATAAACTCTTTTTTCCCGTTCGTTTTTCTTTGTCATAGAAATTAATTCCACACAACAATATCAAGAGAAAGACATCAAGCCAGACGAACGCAAGAAAAACAACTAAAACAACAACAACATGATTTTGAACGTTACTGTCAAATTTGTGTCCAATTGGTAATTACATTAATCGGTATTCGATAATTGTATAGTCAAACATATTACTAGTGTATATCGATATATAGATGGCGTTTTTGTGTCACAAAAACATAAACAGAATTGTTTTTGGTTAATACACACTGCAAACTGAAAACAGTTTTACGGAATTTACTCGGTCTCCTATGAATATGAATAGGATTTTCTTAACATATACTCTCAAGGTATAATAATAGAAGATAACAGCAAGTGTTGTTGTAAAACAAACGATACAACAACCACATGGAAATTTGTGTCAACGTCATTTGACAGAAAAATGTAAATAAAGAAATAAATTATATTTTCTTTAAAAATAATATATTTTCGAATCCATTAAATAAAATTTGAAAAACATGAATGAAAATCTATCACATTTATATTTCTATCGCTTCCACATCTTTCCTATAATTGCCACTTATATGTGTAACACATATGAAAATGCAGGGAATTGCGAGTTATTCAATGAAGAAAGATTTGCTTCCTCAAACTTTCCCAACTTGCTGTTACCTTTTATAATTGTACCATGATATACTCTATGGAATTGATATTTACCATCGAGTAAATTTTGTAGTTCAAAACTATTGTTGATTTGTCAAAAATACTTTCAAAAAATTAACATATTTAATTAATTTTTTTTCACTACTTAATTTCGAACACATAAAGAAATCTATTTTTATTTAATATTTTTAATCTGTTTTAAATTACAATAATATTTTTGACAGCTCCAAAATTATAAGGTGGTGTATCACAATAATAAAATGTTGTATCACAACACAGGTTTTCTATTCAAAATCGAGTTGGGGATATGGTTTACATATTGATTCATTCAAAAATCATACATTTCTTCTTACAAATGTTGTAGAATTCATCTTCAAACAAATCGATTTTCGACTATGTTTTGTTAACTTTTTCAAAACATTACACACAGTCACACAATTTTATATGAATTTTGCATCAGGGTTACCGTTGTGCGACTAAAGTCGCAATTTGCAACCTTTTTGATGCTCTGTAACGCTGTTTGCAACTTTTTAAGCTTTGTGCGACTTTTCTTTCCTGTTTTTGTTAAGTTATATTTTCCTTTTTATGTGTAAATTCAAACTTATTTTGATTCGTCTACTTCGTGTTTGAGGTCCAAGGGTATCTGACATATTCTGGGAACAGTTTCATTGGCGAATTTACTTTTCTGTGGGACTTTTTTTCAAGGGAACGACTTTTTGTGCAACTTTTTTAAAATTCCCAACGGCAACACTGTTTGGCATAACAAGCCACAGTAAGAACCATGGTACAATGAAAAGGTATTCCATTTAGCGCAGCTGATGTCTTGATTAACTGTCAAAGTGGGTAATTTCTACTTGAATTCGATGTGCAGTGTTGCCAACCATTTGAATTATTATATGGAAAATTTTGACAGATAATCGAGACAAAAACAAAGGTTGTTGTTGTGATACATCACCTTATTATTGCATCATGGTAAGAACCATGGCACAATGAATAGGTAGTCCATTTAGCGCAGCTGATGTCTTGATTAACTGTCAAAGTGGGTAATTTCTACTTGAATTCGATGTGTAATGTTGCCAACCATTTGAAATATTATATGGAAAAATTTGACAGATAATCGAGACAAAAACAAAGGTTGTTGTTGTGATACATCACCTTATTATTGCATCATGAGTAAGAACCAGTGAGCGGAGCAGTATAGTCGGACGGAAAATATTTCTTGATATTTGCACCCTCTTGTCCGATAAAATTTCACGGCACTTCTTGGTTACAATGACATATTTTCCGAATATTACTAACTCTGCTTTTCCACAGGCAAATTTTTATTTGGCAAATACTGAGTTTGTAGGCGAGAGGGGTGCGAGGAAGAAAAACAAAAATTTGCCTGTTCAGAATTTGCCGTACACGCAAATTCTGCTTTGCTCTGTTCGTTGAAAACAATTTTGTTGACATTTCCTTTTGAACCTATTCGCTTTACTGACACACAGCCGGCCTTTGTTTACAAACCTGTTGCTTTAATTTGTGCAAGTGAAATTTAATTTTTAATTTTTGCAATTTATATAATAAAATATATAAAAAATAAATAAAATATTAAAAAAATCTTTAAAATGCAAACACTTGGTCTGTTCCCGTACTGCAAGAATCTACTAATTTTTACTACGATAACGAATTTTCCTTTATGATATCGGAGAAAATAGTAAAATTTAGTAGATTCTTGCAGTACGGGAACAGACCAACTTTTGACTTTTATTTTCTTTCTTTTGTATTTTGATTCGCAAATTTGGCAAAGAAAAATTTGCTAATGGAAAAGCAAACGAAAATTTCAAAAGAGAAAACAAAAAATTTGCCAAATAAAAATCTGCCTGTGGAAAAGCAGACTAATGGTGTTTTTACACGATATGTATTTTACATATGTGCTGTCACTTATTTCATCCATATGTAATTCCTTATGTGTGTCAAAATTAGCAGTGTACACAAAACATTTATTTTTGTGTTCAAATCGGCATATGTATTTTACATATGACATAACCTATAAGCTTTTATTTTTTCTTAAATCAACATCTTTTTATTATTAAACACCAACAAACGAAATAATAATTTGTAATTGTTGCCTTTTCATCCTTTTCTTTGACTTGCAATTGAAATATTTTCTTCCAAAAATGTGTTTTATTTAAACAGCTGATTTCCTTATGTTTCACATACGAAAATACAGCGCGTCCACATATGTAAAATACATATCGTGTAAAAACACCATTAATTTGACATTTTTTCCAACATATAACTAAAAACGCGAAAATGAATGAAAGGTTATGATATCTTTCCAAAAATCCAATAAGGAATACCATGAAACCGTTGTTTCATCCATAACAAAGTAATTAGTTCCAGACTGACGCGTTAATAACATCATTTTTATTTCAATTAAATTTGAATATATTTCAATTTATTTGACATAGTATTCAAAACAATACACAAAATATGTATTTTGATTTGATGGAACAAGCCACCTTGAGAAAAAAATTGTAGGATAACGCATCTTCATTAGAACAATTTATCAGATTCAGATCCTTCAAGACAATTAAATTGACAATTTTAATCAAATCGTTCAAATGATTACCACCTACTTGGTAACCACTTAGCAGCAACAACTAACAAAAATTGCACATCTGTGTATGTATGGAAATTCACTACCATTCTCATCAACCCTGAAGCTGACAAACAGTTTTGATTTTTGCAATAATCATCGTCGGATTTTATTTAGCGGCTATAGGAATATTTGCTTCTTTTCAACAATTAACATCTCCATCTTCATCAGGAATATTTACAAATAATGTCACGTTACGATCGCGCTGTTACCATTTTCTCACCCGATGGTCATCTGCTACAGGTTGAATATGCCCAGGAAGCGGTGCGCAAAGGATCCACAGCGGTAAGTGAGACAAACTTAACCTTGCTTTAAATTGGAATCACCATCGGTGGAGTTTTATTTATGAATTGCTGTAAATATTTAGGTTGGTGTTCGTGGTGCCAACTGTGTCGTCCTGGGTGTGGAGAAGAAATCCGTAGCAAAATTACAAGAAGAACGTACGGTACGTAAAATTTGTTTGCTCGATCATCATGTTGTAATGGCATTTGCTGGTCTCACTGCCGATGCACGTATTCTAATTAATCGTGCCCAAGTGGAATGCCAAAGTCACAAACTGAATGTTGAAGATCCGGTTACATTGGAGTATATTACAAGGTATGAGCACAGCACACACACACATGTTGTGTTGATTTTCCATTTCTACAAAGCAAAATTATTGATTGCTATGTTTTCACAGATATATTGCACAATTGAAACAGAAATATACACAGAGTAATGGTCGTCGTCCATTTGGTATTTCTTGTCTGATTGGAGGATTTGACTATGATGGCACACCTCACTTGTATCAAACGGAACCCTCTGGCATCTATTACGAATGGAAAGCTAATGCCACCGGCCGTTCAGCGAAGACAGTCCGTGAATTCTTAGAGAAACAATACAAAGATGAAGAGGTGGCCACAGAAAATGGTGCCGTTAAATTGGCCATTAAGGCTTTGCTGGAGGTGGCACAGTCTGGTCAGAAGAATTTAGAAATCGCAGTGATGGAAAGAAATAAACCCTTGAAAATGCTAGATGCTAAAACCATTGAGGAATATGTTGCTGTCATTGAAAAAGAAAAGGAAGAAGAGGCTGAAAAGAAGAAACAGAAGAAGTAAAAAACAACACACACACAACTTTGAAAGTTGAAATATTCTTCTTACTGTTTGTCAGCCAGCCAGTCAGTTAGCCGCTAACAGCAAGAAAGTGGTAGTGTGGGGACAAGGTTTTTAATAATTTATAAATTTTGTCATTTGCGTTTAATTATTAGCTTTTCTATATATCCTATGGAAATAAAACAAATGAAAAAAAAAACAACTGCAAAGGTGTGGAAAACATTATATGATGAATTTATATAGGTATTAAAGATTGGAGTTTTGAAATGGCAAAAAATTGCATACCCATAAATAAAATAGTTGTAAAGGAATTGAAATTATATATGTTGTTGTATGGACACTAGTTTTTCGTTGTTGTAGAAGACAGATGTCTTTTAAAATATAACAAATTTTGGCAATAAGCAAATGTGTCGTTAGGCGTACGATTATAGACATTGATATGAGATATTCGGGTTCCGATTTTACTAATACTATATCACAAGTGAATACATATTTAAGGTATACAGTCATCATGGGTATTGGAACCGATTTAGACCTTTAACTGGAACCCTTACAGTTGGATGGGAGCTATTGACCATGGGGTTTTTCACTGAGAGGCTATATTTCGAAGTACATTTGAAAATTAGAAACTGCAGAACATTAAAATTATTATTTTTATAGTACTAATTGTCAGTACTATAGGTGAATCTTATAACCATCGGTTATTTCGGTGCCCCTTTGAAGGTATTCCTTAAGAAAATAGAATAAATTCTTGAGAAGGTCAAAAACAACCACTTTAAATATTTCCTATCGAATTAACTATTACAAAAACACTTTTTTAGTTTTCCACAAGGCGTGGATAAAAAAAAATTAATTTCTACAAGGCGTGGATTTTTTAAACAGTTTTTTGAGATTCTTATAGCATATGCCTGCTACTTCGTTAGCGAATGCGGTAATTACTTAAAAAAACCATACCGACCATAATTAAAATTTTAGTACCATTGGACCTATGTTCTCATATAGCTCGTATTTCCAAAACTATCTCAACACTACACACCAATTCTGACCGCATCAGAAATCTAGCTCTATGCTATATTATTTCCAAAGAAATCCAAATTTCAAATGTAGATTAACCCAAACACAAATTTAATACCAGTTAGTACACATTAATATAAATTTCCATAACTAACTACCTTAACAATCAAAAATATGAATTTCCAAATATCAAAATTCCACCTCAATCAGTTCACCTAAATCCTACTTGTATCAAATTTAGTACCACTTAGTACACATAAGTACAAATTTCTGTTATTGCCTACATCATGCAATCCAACGAAAATCTTATTATCCAATTTAAGAAATCCAACTCTATCGTTTCACTCTATTTCCGAATTGTATCAAATTTAGTGCCATTTATTCCACATAAGTACGAATTTCTAAAATTATTTACATACCTGAAATCAATTCCCCCAACAGTAATATTAATTCCAAAAATATTTAGTGTTCCAGCTCTATCGGTTCATCTAAATCCAAATTGTATAAAATTTAGTACTTTTCGTACTAATAAGTACAAATTTCCTACATTTCCCAATCCTACACCCCAACAGGAATCCTAACTCCAAATTTCAGGATTCTAGCTCTATCAGTTGTCCCTAAAAAATCAAATTGTACTAAATTTAGTACTCATAAGTATGAATTTACAAAACTATCTGCATGTTCAATTCTACATTCCAATATTCCGGGTTTATACATGCAACTTTTGTAAGCAACTCTGCTGAGATCTTAGAAGTGAGAGGCATAAAAAGTGACAAGAGGAAACAATTCAAAAGGGAATCGTAGAGAGCAGCAGCAGATTTGCTTAAAAAAGTTGAATGTATAAACACAGACATAGTAAACTTAATTTCAAAATTTTACTATTCCAACTCTAAAATCAAGATGTATCTGATTTAGTACCATTGAGTACCCATAAGTACAAAGTTCCAAAACTACATCCATACCCCCAATTCCACACACAAACAATAATCTTATATCCAAATTTCCGTGTTGCTGCTCCATCCGTTCCTTCAAATTCTAACTGTACCAAATTTAGTACCATTTAGTACACATTAGTAGAAATTTCCAAAACTTCCTACGCAGCCTCATTCCTACACCCCAACAGTGATCCTAACTTGAAATTTCTGGATTCCAGATCTATTAGCTCACCCAAAATTAAAATTGTACAAAATTATGTACACATAAGTACGAATTTCACAAACTACCAAAATGCCTCAATTCTACAATGCAATAGTAATCTTATTTACAAATTTCAGTGTTCCAGCTCTATAGGTTCACCCAAATCCAAATTGTACCAAATATAGTACTCTTCGTACTCATAAGTACATATATCAAAAACTATCTACATATCCCCATATCATGATACCAGCTCCATCCGTTCCTTCAAACTCAAATTGTAGCAAATTTAGTACCGTTTAGTACTATTCGTATACATGGCTACACACTTCCAAAACAACCTCCTACCGACCCTACTTCTCAACCTTGATTTGCATTCCAAACATCACATGCTACGAAATTGTAAAAAAATGGTACATTTAGACCTTTTCGGATACTTATAGTTCGAAATTCCAAAAAAAAAAAAATTGGTACATTTGAAAAAATGTTACCCTTTTCAAGGATAAAAACCCAACCTTATCTGACACCTTCAGACTAAGAGTGATCCTCACCCCAAATTTCAAGATTCAGCCGTACTTGACTTTTTTATTGGTATAGATTTTTCCATGTTCGTTACCTTTCTCCATAAAATAGCCTAGATTTTAGGAACATTTGAGATTCTGAAGACAATTTCTTCTTACAGATTGTCGTTACGATACGATTGTCGATATATGCATCGGTATATATATTTCATGTAATATCGGCGTTGGTGATTGCTTACAAATTTTTTGGGATTGCTTATTGAGACAAGTTGGCTAGGCCAACATGTGAGAATGGATGAAGATGCCCCAGCTCAAAAGGCATATAAAAGCGAGCCTACTTATGGTTCACGCAAGTAAAAGAACATGGTCTTTTAAATTGGATGCGCACAAGACCGACGCTCTTGTAAATCTTTTTTAAGCTCGGCATACGGAACAGCCACTCTGTCATAAGTCAGCTAATTATTTAAATATAATAAGTATTGAGACAAGGTTCTATTGAAATAAGATATCTATTTTTAAAATAATTACATTTTATTTTGATTTTGTTTAGAACGTTAAAGCACTTATCAACAGTTCATAGTTTTCTTAATTAGTTATTTTGTATGCTTACAATTGATTTGTTTTTATTTATTGGTTTGTTTTACACTTTCCTGCAGAACTTCTACTTGTATTTTATTGTTATAGTTTCTCTTTCCATCTATCTTTCAATTTGTACAAATACATACTTCATGTTTTTCCTTTGTTAACACATAATTGACTTACAATTGCTGCAATTTTTAATTCGTATATATTTGCATAGTTGCTTGCATGGGGGACCGAAATATTTTTCAATAATTTTGTTGATTTCTTATTTTTTAAATCTTATAAAAAATATAATTTATCAAAAATAATATATATTTATAAATAGTAGCGCAGTATACAGTATATTATTTGTCCGTACACTTTTTTAATTGTTCTTGATTTAATTTATGTGGGATATTACACATCTCTCAAGAGGGGGTAGGGAGGAAGGCAGGCGTTCTACTGAATTTAAAATATATATATAATTTTATTTTTCTTTTGGTGTGACTCTTTAATTTGCAAAATGAAAGGATTAAATATGTCATACTTGTTTTGAGGATATTTCCGTGAACATATTATCCATCCATCCATAAAGGAAAACAAAATATCAACACGTTTCATGTAATAGCGGGCAGCATTTAATATTAACATCAATAAACTTCTTTTTTTTTGGAGATCGATATTTAAAATTAGAATTTTGCATTTTGCAAAACTGGTTGAAGTTCTGTTTGCAATGCTCGACAAATTAGGATCTCTCTAGAAGAGTGATAGTTAATATAAATATGTTCCATTTGAGAGAGTGTTTTTTTTTCTATGAATAAACTAAAATATAATATTTGTTGTTACTCAAAAACCTCCCACGCTGTTCCAAAAATAACAAACCTGCAGCGCGGTTTTATCGGATAGTAGTCCTCTTTCTATAACATTAAAAATCTCTCTTAATAACTTTTCAATTTATCGTGGAAGCCTTTTTTGATGTCTGTCTCTTGTGTATTGTGTGTGTGTACTAGTGTTATATATGTATATGTTTTGCTTATTGAGACAAGTTGGCTAGGCCAACATGTGAGAATGGATGAAGATGCCCCAGCTCAAAAGGCATATAAAAGCGAGCCTACTTATGGTTCACGCAAGTAAAAGAACATGGTCTTTTAAATTGGATGCGCACAAGACCGACGCTCTTGTAAATCTTTTTTAAGCTCGGCATACGGAACAGCCACTCTGTCATAAGTCAGCTAATTATTTAAATATAATAAGTATTGAGACAAGGTTCTATTGAAATAAGATATCTATTTTTAAAATAATTACATTTTATTTTGATTTTGTTTAGAACGTTAAAGCACTTATCAACAGTTCATAGTTTTCTTAATTAGTTATTTTGTATGCTTACAATTGATTTGTTTTTATTTATTGGTTTGTTTTACACTTTCCTGCAGAACTTCTACTTGTATTTTATTGTTATAGTTTCTCTTTCCATCTATCTTTCAATTTGTACAAATACATACTTCATGTTTTTCCTTTGTTAACACATAATTGACTTACAATTGCTGCAATTTTTAATTCGTATATATTTGCATAGTTGCTTGCATGGGGGACCGAAATATTTTTCAATAATTTTGTTGATTTCTTATTTTTTAAATCTTATAAAAAATATAATTTATCAAAAATAATATATATTTATAAATAGTAGCGCAGTATACAGTATATTATTTGTCCGTACACTTTTTTAATTGTTCTTGATTTAATTTATGTGGGATATTACACATCTCTCAAGAGGGGGTAGGGAGGAAGGCAGGCGTTCTACTGAATTTAAAAAAAAAAAATATATATATATATATATATATTAATTTTATTTTTCTTTTGGTGTGACTCTTTAATTTGCAAAATGAAAGGATTAAATATGTCATACTTGTTTTGAGGATATTTCCGTGAACATATTATCCATCCATCCATAAAGGAAAACAAAATATCAACACGTTTCATGTAATAGCGGGCAGCATTTAATATTAACATCAATAAACTTCTTTTTTTTTGGAGATCGATATTTAAAATTAGAATTTTGCATTTTGCAAAACTGGTTGAAGTTCTGTTTGCAATGCTCGACAAATTAGGATCTCTCTAGAAGAGTGATAGTTAATATAAATATGTTCCATTTGAGAGAGTGTTTTTTTTTATGAATAAACTAAAATATAATATTTGTTGTTACTCAAAAACCTCCCACGCTGTTCCAAAAATAACAAACCTGCAGCGCGGTTTTATCGGATAGTAGTCCTCTTTCTATAACATTAAAAATCTCTCTTAATAACTTTTCAATTTATCGTGGAAGCCTTTTTTGATGTCTGTCTCTTGTGTATTGTGTGTGTGTACTAGTGTTATATATATGTATATGTTTTTGTTTTGTTGTATGTTAATTTCTACGAAATGAAAATGGCAACAGCTTATAAACTAATTCTTTGCTTTTTTGTAAATGGTTGTCGAACATTTTTCTCTCTGCAACAATACCACCCATTGTTGCACAACATCACTCAGGCAAGTCCAGGATATCGGCAACAAATTTCGAAATATCCGTATTACGTTGTATATGTTCCGATATAAATGGATGCTGCAGTAATTGTTCATAATTCGGTCGTGCTGTATAATTCTTTTGCAAACATTTTGTTATGAAATCTTCAAATTCTGTCGAGAATTTTCCCGACTCTAAACGTGGTGGATCATCTTTGACAACTTGTCGCAATTGTTCAAATGGCGTTTTCCATGTATTATATGGAAATTTACCCGTTGCCATTTCAATCATACTTATACCAAATGACCAGACATCGGAACGTATATCGTATTGGGCTGGATTGCCGGTGGGATCAATACGTTCGGGAGCCATATAGGGCTTGCAGCCAGCATCAATTGTTTTGGCTACAGAATCCACTAGATAACCTAGAATAGAAATAACAGAAATGTGTTGTTATTTTCGGATTTCTTTTGTTTTTCGTTTTTAATTACCTGAAATACCAAAATCGCACATTTTCACTTCACCATTGCGATTTATTAGTATATTAGATGGTTTAACATCACGATGAATAACTTTTAACTGAGCATGCAAATAATGAAGGGCATTGACGACAGACATTGCGATCTGAAAATGAAAAAAAAAATAAATCATGTTAATAAAATAATTGTTGAGTTGGTGAAAGTTATTTCTTGAAAATATTGAAATAGAAAACGGAACAAAGAGAAGGAAAATAGGAATTCGAATTTAAATAGGTTAGCCGGAGAAACTGTGCCACCTCTATTGGCTCTACCCATAAGTCTGTAGGCAATCGACTTGTAGGTTCGGATCGGCAATTGAATAGATGGTGTGTGTCGTGAGGGCTTTGCTGACAGGAGGGATACCTATTTAGGGTTTCGGGGACAATGCGCTCTCGATACGAATTGAGAACATTGTTGTATCCGGACCTTAGTTGTGTCAGAAGAAGATGTCTCTCACCCTCCGAAATTGCAGGAGGATGTTTGAGTGGGACTTTGTTGCATCTATAGCCATTTATGGCTTTGGAGACCGCCAGTCGTCAATCTCTTGACGACCTATAGTAAGACGTCTTGGATGCCATCACGATAGACCCTGATGGATGGGTCGCGGAGGTGGATCTGCCATCACCGTGTGATGGTTGGGATGACACGGCATATGACATTGGCAGTATTCTTCAACGTATTCGACAAGTTTGGCAGACGGCTCAGAAAATCGAAGATCATAAAATATTTAGTTAATAACTTTAATGAGAGCTTCGAAACGCAACGGACACAGACAGTTTTATAATAAATATAAATGTATACGGATAATATTGAAAAACGATGTCAGTCAAATGGCCACCACGACGATGACCATATCCCTTTCCCCATCGTAGTTAATTAATTTAAGGACACTACCCCGATCCATTCCAGGTTACCACGAAGTGCAGAGAAAAGTTGAACTAGTTGACCTAGGTCAGTTTCACGCTACACATCATGGAGACCCCCTTCCCATTCGCCACCCGGGAAGACGCGTTTAGAGGAGATTGGCAACTCCATAACAATTTAAAAAAAGATTTCCACCCATGTCCAACTATCACTATGTCCGTATAGAGACGTACAGGTCGCTGCCTCATCTGCTTACACATGTACTCATGCTTTAGATCCATATACCAGTACAGATAGTATCAGCGTGTGAATTTGGTCTAGCGAGAGGTGGAATTGTTTCTGAACAGATTGGTTAGACCATGGTAGATAAAATCTCTGACTATCTCAAAGCTGTAGTTTTCATGTTAGCTCGAGTCTATTTTTGTGTACGGGACACAGGATGCCAAGGCATTTTTCTAGGCATTTTGTACTATCAATCCAAACCAAAGTTATAAGCAAAAATGTACTTAGCATGGCACGTAAGATTTAAGAAACTTCCATACTTTGAGAGCTTCTGCTGAAAACTCACTTTTCAGACTTAGCATACTATTCTTCGGAGGCGTCGATATCATTTAGCGTATATTATAAGCATAGTCTTACCTTTCCCAAAACACTCTCTTCCATAATGAAATTATTTTTGAAAACTTTTGGATAGAATTTATCCAAACTGGTGTCCATGACTTCCATGCAAATCCAAACATCACCTTCACGAAACAATGCTCCGTAGAAATGTACCGTGTATGGACAGTCGCTGGAACGCATTGAAATATCCAAATCCATCAGAAGGCGTTTTTGTTCCTTGCGATTGACAGTGGCCGTGATGCGCTTCACAGCCATCACCGTACCCGTCTGTTCGTGACGCATTTTCTCTACAATGCCATAGGCACCACGACCTAAATCGCATATTTTCTCCAAACTATCAGCATCAATTTCAAAGGTGCGATCACCAATTTGTATGGTGGTACTGGAGTCCAGATTGCGTGGTGGAACTCTACATAATAATCGAAAAGACCAACAAAATGAATTAAACGAAACACAAAATGTTGGTGCACATTCCAAATACTACTTACAATTCCGGCTCTGGTTCCTTTTGTATGGTCATACGGAGGTTAGGTCTTGGCCTGGACATTATTATTATTATATGTATTTAATTTATACGCTGTTGTATTAGTTGAGTAAGTGTTTTTGCTGCTTATATTTTTTTAGTCAGTGGTGTGTGTGAGCACTGCTTTCCGAGTTTTTTCTTCTTCAGAGCCGTAAATTGCAAAAAAAAGAAATGTTTTCCAATCGACTATTTTTTATTATTTATTTGTTATATTGTATCCGACTTGTATCTCGTATGGTAATTCTATTTTGTTGTACTCTTGTTGTTCTCGAATAGTTCTTCTGGTCGATTTTAAAATAGTCTTCTACGAAAATTTGCGTGGGTTCTGATTTTGAATTCTTTGGTCTCGCGTTTTATTATCTTTTTGCGGATAAAAAAATATTATTGAAACATCTCGATTTGGCTGTGGTAAGTATTAAAAAATATTAATTATGTATTAATTTCGGCTGTACTGTTGGAATTTAGTAGGCAATCCGGCTCTGATTTTAGAGTTGTGTCGTTTAGGGATACGTAAGTCGACTAATCGATTAATAGAGAAAATCGCAAAGTCGACTTTCAAGAACGATTTACGATATTCTTGATAAATGCTTTGTTTCAAGATCTATTAATAAGGTCACCAAGATAGCAATCGAAATCGGAAAACAGCTGTTTTTTCTCAAGTCTAATGTCAAAAATTTCGACTTTGTTTACGTTTTCATAATGGAAGTCAATTCACAATAATGCATTTTGACAGCAAACTTGAGAGGTATCGATAATCAGCTGGTCTCCCTTGGTGACCTTATTTATAGGCCATGCTTTGTTTATTATCGCAAAATCCGTATTGCCCATGGCCTATAAATAAGGCCACCAAGATAGCAATCGAAATCGGAAAACAGCTGTTTTTTCTCAAGTCTAATGTCAAAAATTTCGACTTTGTTTACGATTTCATAATGGAAGTCAATTAACAATAATGCATTTTTTGAGAGGTATCGATTAATTGTGTGAAACCAGATGATTTCACCCGAGCTGTCAAAATGCTTTCAATTTCGACTTGATTAACATTAACAAAAAATTGACAGGTTGGGGGATTTTAATCCAAAATGATTGATAACGATTGCTTCTGACACCTGCTTATTGGATCATGGGTCACACCAAGATCTATTAATTAAGGGCTAAGCAGAATGCTCGCGTTGCGCCATCCGTCGTGTTATATGTTATCGAATATACAACAACCACAAGGAAACAATAACACAAACGCATATCGTTTACTTGTGGTTGTTGTATTTTCGATAACATATAACGCGACGGATGGCTTAAGATCTATTAATAAGGTCACCAAGATAGCAATCGAAATCCGAAAACAGTTTTTTTTCTCAAGTCTAATGTCAAAAATTTTGATTTGTTTACGTTTTCATAATGGAAGTCAATTCACAATAATGCATTTTGACAGTAAACTTGATAGGTATCGATAATCAGCTGGTCTCCCTTGGTGACCTTATTTATAGCCCATGGGATGGCTCAACGCGAGCATTCTGCTAAGGGTAGCAATCGAAGACAGCTGTTTTTTCTCAAGTCTAATGTCAAAATTTTCGTCTTTGTTTACGTTTTCATAATGAGAGTCAATTCACAATAATTCATTTTGACACCAAACTTGAGTGGGGCAGATATCCATCTGGTCTCCCTGGGTGTCTTTATTTATAGGTCATGGGTCATTCAAAAGTGCTAGTGTGGATACCGATTTAGTCGGCAACAGTCAAAAATCGATTTTGTACAGGTTTAACGCACACTCTCTTTGGTCAAAGAAACTAGAACTTGAACTGTTTTTCGTTAACCCAGTGCATTTAAATTGTCAATTCCATTGCATGTATGTCAAATAATTCCCATAAAGTAGGTTAATCCAGTAAAAAGTTCCAATGAACATACCGTTTTAGGTCCAACCCACTTTGGATCAAAATCGCACCAAACAATATCTTTTCTGGGTTGCCTCTCTTTAATATGGACTGTTATTCCCGTACTGCGGAAATTTGTTATTTATTCCAGCTGGGGCAGAATCATCATCTTTGTAGGAGGTTTTGATAATTTTTATAGGCCGAGCAATACTTAAGCTATCCATTTTCGTAGAAATTATTGACAGCAAACTTGAAAAACAGCTGATCTTCTAAGATCGCCTTTTTAATACGCCCAGGAAGATCAGGCGCTTCTCAGAACAGACCATGTAATTAATAAGGTCATCCAGAAAGCAACTAACAGCTGTTTGCACCTGAACTTTTTAAAAGTGTGTTTAGATTTACAAAACCCACTCGATCGCAATGTCATTTTCTTAACATATACGTCAAATATCCACTGGATTTTTGAATTGTGATTAAGGTGACCTATACGCTATGTAATTGACATTTGAAATTGAGTGTATTTAGTATTCTAAACGAACTCTAATTGACTTTAGTTGTAGGTCTTTGGTGTGTATGCCACTTAAACTATAAACAAAATATAAATGGTAAACAAAAACACGCCGCCTCTGTACGTAAGTGAACATATGTTTTGAAATAACACTGTGTAGTGCGGCGTGGAACTCTTCGGATGTGCAAACAAGCAAACTATTTCGATCAAATTTAATAAACATGAATAAAATGAGAAAACCTAAATCGATGAGGCCCCCAATGCCTATAGTTACACCATCCACAAGTAGTAACGGCACCGATGTTTTAGGAAGTGCCGAAGCCGACAGACAATTTGAACTGGAATTATGTTGGTGTGTGCAACAATTGGAAACAGCCCTAAACACTGGAAAACTAAGTCAAAAAGTTGCCGAGGATACGGTAAAAAATTTGAAAATTCTCAAGGGTCGACATCCCATCATTAAAAAACGACAGGTTATGAAGGCATCAATGGGAGATTATCGTTCCAAAATGAAAGAAGAAGAGAAGAAAATGTCTTTGGGTAAATTAAAAAATAAAACAGAACTCTTGTGCCTATATATAAAATAACTTAACGATGTTTTTACATTTTAGCTCCTAAACAGATTAAATTTACATCTACCGCGGCAAATGATGTCAAGAAATCAAGTTTTGTAAAGAAATCGGCATTGCTAAATTCTGGAAAAGATTTTAAATTCGATTTTACGGTACCAGAGACAAATGGTAACGCGGACCAGGAGGAGAAACAGACCCCGACAACTGACACCTCAAAGAATACTGACAATTTTAGCATTAAGAAAATAAATCTAACATCTGGAAATGGCTTTGCATTTAATTTTGCCATAGATGAAGTAAATGATGGAATTAACTTTGATGGTCTAAATATTAAAAATTAATCTAGTTTGTTTTTATTATCATTATTATTTGGTAGAAAGTATATACCTAATGGAATATGAATAAAATTAAAACTAAACTAATACTAATGGAATTGCAAATACATAGTAATCCTAAGAACACCCTATAAAATCTTGAGGCATATCACGACATAATAACTTAAAATTAATTGCTGTATATCAAATTCGTATTCGGAAACGATTATAGCGTTTTTGAACCACACTCATTACATTGAATAAGTATTGTCTGTTGTTGCCATTTGTGGCATAGCCTTACTGTATAATATCTCTAATTGTTTCTTATATTCAAATGGAAGTTTTTCAAAGAGAGTTGCAATATAACGATTGACTTGCCAATCTAACAATTCCGCATCAAATTGTTTACTCTCCAATTGCATTTGCAGATCGGAATAGAAATCACAAAAAAGTACTGGTTCTTGGTTTTCGCTAGACTTACGGGTGCTACAAAATTGATATCGTTTCAAAAGATCTGCTTTGGACTTGTGATCGTTTTCATTGTAGCGAGTTGCTAGTGGAATCTGAAAGAAGTGGATATGGGGTCATTATAATACATGAAATATCAGAGAACAACACCACCTACCTGTTGCTGAATAATCCTATTTTGATATTGTGTTATTTCATTCCTCAGCTTTGAAACATCCTTGATTTCCTTCAACATATATTTAACGAAACTAAAAAGTTTACTAATATCAGCATCAAGTGGTTCCATGCATTCCATAAACTCTCGTATTCTCATGGAATTGTTATACATTCCAGGATCCAATTTTTCGGCAATGCCAAAGTATTCCCGGGCCTGGGGAAAATCATGTTTCATTGCCAGAAGTGTAGCCAAGGCTATATAATTTTCACCATGTTTTGGGCCATATTCAACAGCACTTTTTAAGATAATTTCAGCATCATCCCATAATTCTGCCCTGACCAATATTGTCCCCAAACTCAGTAGAGGAATATCTTTGTGAGTTTCGGGAGCCAAAAATACAGATAATCGAGCACAGTCTAAGGCATTTTTAGCATCCCCAACCAGCCGCCAGTAGTAGGAGCCCAACATATGAAACTTCCATGATGTGGGATTATTCAAGAGGCCCTTCATAGCAACATTATAAATTATTTCCGTGACACCTTTAGCACCCTTCGAACCCAGTTCATGTTTTAAATGATGCTCCTCCTCTTCGATGGTCAATTTGTTGATAACATCACTGCTAAAACATTCCAAATTGCTAAATGCATCCTTTTGTGGATTTAACTCTGCATAATTTCTACAAACTGGCGAACCGCCATTGGCCTCTTTTTCCATTTTTTCGGGGAACTCTAAACGTTTCATTGAGGCTCCCGTTGTTCTTAGATAATCCGTTAATCCAGTCAATTTCACATAAACCCTGGCACATTCTGCACGCTTAAGTATACCCTGCAGTAGTTGCGCCGTTATTAAGATATGCTCATCCAATGTGCTACGCTTCCGTTGCATCTTTCTGAAAGCCTCCTCGGCACGATCATTTGTTTTTATTTGTTCCAAAAACATGACCAGATTTTCCGGCTCCCTTAGATGAAAGGGTGAATCAAGGCGCCTTTTGATTAAACCATCCTCACGGAGTGCATAATGATTAGAGGCGGATATATTATGAATTCTGGGTATGATAAGTAACCATATCAATGGCATATAATACCACATTTTGAATATTTATTAAATTTCCATTGATAGATAGAGGTGTATCCAAAGCCAAAGTTAAAAATAAATATAACACCTGTCCTTAAAATGCAACTACTTTCTTAATTGTTTATTACAATGCTGGAAGAAATGGGTCCCAAAACGTAACTGATAAAGCATAATCAAAACAAAAATAGCTGAGTTAGGGATACCCAGGTCAAATTTCGTACGGAATCAAAAAAAAAAAACTGAATAAAACAGAATTGACTTAAAGTGGTGTACACACTAGCACTTTTGAGTGGCAGCTATTTTTATCGATTACTGACTGTTCAACAACCATAAATATTTTTTTGGTTGCCTGATGAATGACAAACATGAGACGCCACACTATCAAACAAACATAATTTGGGCAAGAGTGTCATTCAAAAGTGCTAGTGTGTACAGCGCTCAATTGCTAAGCAGAATGTTCTCGTTGAGCCTTCCGTCGCGTTATGTGTTATCAAAAATACAACAACCACAAGTAAACGATAACACTACCGATTGAAGTTGATGTGCGTTGCGCTTCGCAGTTAAATATATTTTAGCTTTTTGCGTGCGTTAAGAGCTAAGCAAAATGTTCGAGTTGAGCCATTCGTAGCGTTATGTGTTATCGAAAATACAACAACCACAAGGAAACGATAACACAAACGCTTGAAGTTGTTGTGCGCTGCGCTTCGGAGTTAAATATATTTTAACTTTTTGCAACGTCTGTCACCACTGTCAGTTGTGTCAAGGAGCAAATCTTTCTTCATTGAATAACTCGCAATTCCCTGCATTTTCATATGTGTTACACATATAAGAGGCAATAGCTCAATTATAGGAAAAATGTGGAAGCGATTGAAATATAAATTTGATAGATTTTCATTCATGTTTTTCAATATTTATTTTGAGGATTCGAAAATATTTCATTTTCAAAATAAAAATAATTTGATGATATTTTGTTTGTTTGTTTACATTTTTCTGTCAAATGAGTTGACACTAGTAGAACTTACAACAACAAATTTCCATGTTGTTGTTGTATCGTTTTTTGTACAACAACACTTGCTGTTACCTTCTATTATTATACCATGTTCGTTTGACAACTTTGTTCCGGTACCAAAGTTTTTCTTAACCCTGTGTGGCCCGAATTTTTTCCGTAATCATAGAACAATTTTCTATTCACAGATTTAATGCAACTATCCTAAATAGGATATGAGCAAAATTTAACATCGCTACATGCTTGCATTCGGGAGATATAGTACATTCATTCTGAAAAGTAAAATGCCAATATCAAAAAATCCAAATAAAAAATCAACGAAAAATAATTTTAAATTCTAAATCTATATTCATTTCTACAAGAATCAAAAATAAATCAGATGACAAAATTCGTACAATTCGAATACGAATCAATTTAAAAAATTGGACTGTACAAACAAATTAGTACTGTACACATACTTGCCCTCTTCTCTATATTAAAAAGCTTATAACTTTACCAAAAATTTGAATTTTGTAGATTTTGATATGTGTCGTCGATAATCAGTCAGGTCTTGATATATGATTATTGATTAATAATTAATCGTTAATTAATTTTAAGTCTTTGGAAAAGTTCATGTATTGTTTATGATATGATTAAGTGATATACTGTTAATTTTAAGCTTTTGGAGTAGTCCATGTAATGATGTTTTTGGAATCGCTCATGGCCCTTTGGGCTATGTTCTCGTTTATGAAATAAAATTGAATTGAATGTATATCTACAATCTGTATATTTAATATAAGCCCTAAAACATTTTGTTGCCTGTGGGCAACATTGAGCCATAAAGGTTTAAATATTAATTAATAATAGCAGGAATAAATCATATAATCTCAAATATAATTTTGGTAACCTTTTTCTCTTCTTAATAGTATTTACATTACTGTTAAGTTTGTTTTTGGCCAGGAAGCTTTTAATAAAATGCATTTTCCAGTTTAAATTGTGGCCCTCTGTTAACAAAATTTGACACTAATATTGGAAAATACATCTTGTCAAGTTTTTACGGTTGTCATTGTTGTTGTTGTATTAAAAATCAAAGAGAGAAAAAGAGACATCGTTTATTGCGAAAAAATGAAAATTTTAATTAAGAAATAAATATTAGTTATTGCCTAAAATGTAAAATATCTGTGAACAATATAAACAATATAAATAACAAAAACCCCGTTGATAATTGATTTGAAATCAAAAATAATCACGTTTGCAAAAAAGGCAGTCGCTGCACTTCTTGTCAATAAAATAATCGAAGCAGCAGCAACAACATAAGCAAATTTGAGCTGCATTTTGTACAACAACATATTAGATAAAATTGCGTATTTAAGTGCAAGTAATTGAAGCGGAAGAAAAAATAATATTGAAAATTTTTTTTATAAAACTATCCGGCTGTCTTCATCGCAATTTTTTTTTTGTTAGTGAAGCCGTTTTGTTGTTCTTAGGCGGTCTATCTCTCTCTCTCTCCGTCTATCTGCTGCAATTTTTTTTGCATGTGTTTGTTAGTTTTTGTCGGTGTCGCTGAGTTTAAAAGTCGGTATTTTCGTGTGTGTGCGTGACTTGTGAAAATAAACGCCAAAAGAAAGATTGCCCAAAAGAGAATTGTAAACTTTTGACAGGTAAGAATGTAGCATAATCTACTGGTGTCATAAACAGAAACGTAAGGCTTTTGTTTAATAAAATTTGTATTTACATATATTATGCGAAACAAAGCGGAAAATAATTAATTTCAATTCGAGTGACCCAAGTAGAAGAATTCGAAAACAAATCTCGCATATGTAGGCAGACAAATGTGTTGTGTTCTGTAAAATCGAAGAAATTTTTTGCAATCGTCACATGCCATCCGCGCAAATATAAGTTTCGAACTAGCGAACAACAAATTCTGAAAGTTCGCACAAGAACACATTTTCATTTCGTACATCATAATGGTGTAGATTGTAGGACTCGAACCAAACCAAATATCTATTATTGTGGAAATTATTATTACTATTAATACGCCGTCGAGGAAGCAATAATTTACTTATCTATCTATCGATTTGTTTTTGATTTTAATTTTTTGGTTATTTGCATTGGTGTTCGGTGTGGATGTTGCGTTGCGTGCGTGTATCATCTCCTCCTGTGTTCTCTCTACTATATTGTCATCGCCGTTGCCATCACGAACGACCGACCGACAATCAACACCAACCAACATCACATCTTTTCCAAAGGTTGTCCGTCATCAGAAAACAACAAAAGAATTGCAATCAAAACAAGCAACGAGGTGGTGGTGAAGAAGGGAACAACGAAGATTCACTTATTCACTCGCAGTGAGTGATACAAGAAAAGCTGCTGAAGGAAAAGAAAAAACAATTGTGGAAGGTCCACAAGAAAGGCGCCGTCATCGATACCAAAAAAAAAGGTACTAGAATCAAATTCATACTTATAATATGTTTGTAAATACATTTTGCAGAATTCGTAGTGATCGGGGAGAATAAGATATAATTCGATTTTTTTATTCTTGGTTGTTTTGGTCTCTCTCACAACCCACCACAACACAGGAACGGAAAAGTTGTAACTGGAAGAAAAAGTACGGTAGCCACCTTTAAATCTGTCGACCTCAAACAAAACCAGGCAACTCTTCAAAACGTACGTTAGGAGCCCATTAGAAAATGGAAATTGAGCCGGATCAGTCTATGGAAGCAATGGACATACAAGAAATTGAATCTTTACCCGGTGCTGAGCTGCATCAACAGCACCTTAATAAACTGCACTTGCCACCCACGGCCGGACAGCTGCCAAATGAAAATGGGAATGTTCCGCCACAACAATTATTAGCCGATTCCGGTTCACCCTATGCCAATGAACAGGAAATGACCGCTGTCGAAGATGGCCCCAAGGAGGATGAATTCCGCTCAGAGGCAACGTTCTCGTTTACGGTGCCAAATATCCTCCAACAAAAGTCACAAATATTATCACCGCCCGAATATGTGCGCATGTTGCCCTGGAGAATTATGGTAATACCGAATGACCGAGCCTTGGGTTTCTTCCTCCAGTGTAATGGTGAAAATGAGTCGTCGTCATGGTCATGTAATGCCATCGCCGAGTTGAGACTTAAAAGTCATAAGCCTGGCGCAAAACCATTTTCACGCATGCGTATCAAGCATTTGTTCTTTGCCAAGGAGAACGACTATGGCTATTCGAACTTTATTACATGGCAGGAGCTTCAGGATCCCGACAATTTCTATATTCATAATGGCGCCATTACTTTAGAAGTATTTGTTCATGCTGATGCGCCACATGGTGTTTTCTGGGACTCGAAGAAACACACTGGTTGTGTTGGCCTTAAAAATCAGGGTGCCACCTGTTACATGAACTCTCTGCTGCAGACTCTCTACTTCACCAATCAGTTGCGACGGGCCGTCTACAAAATTCCCACAGAAGCGGATGACAGCACCAAATCAGTGGGCCTTTCGTTGCAACGTGTCTTTCACGAGCTGCAATTCAGCGACAAACCGGTAGGCACCAAAAAACTTACCAAATCGTTCGGTTGGGAAACCTTAGATTCGTTTATGCAACACGATGTTCAAGAATTCCTGCGTGTTCTCTTGGATAAGCTGGAGTCGAAAATGAAAGGCACTAATTTGGAGGGTACAATTCCCGGTTTGTTTGAGGGTAAAATGTCATCGTACATTAAGTGTAAAAATGTCGACTATAATAGCACCCGCTACGAGACATTCTATGACATTCAATTGAATATTAAAGACAAAACCGATATTTATGCATCATTTCAAGATTACATAACACCCGAAACATTGGACGGTGATAATAAATACGATGCCGGAGTTCATGGTTTGCAGGTGAGTGATATCGCCTTATCGGCAATTGTGTTACATATGTATTATATAGAAGGAAAGCGATTTTAACATTTCAATTTCCTACGTAACTGTTAAACCTGTTATGAAGTTTATTGAAAGTGCCATCTAATTTGTATTTTTGTGTGTGTGTGTATTCTTTCGTCCCCATATTTTTAGGAAGCCCAAAAAGGTGTTCAATTCACTTCATTCCCGCCTGTATTACATTTGCATTTAATGCGTTTCCAATATGATCCAGTCACTGATAGCTCTATAAAATATAACGATCGCTTCCAGTTTTACGAAGAAATTAATCTTGATCGATTCTTGGAGAAGGAAGGCGAAACCAAAGCTGAATATATTTTACACGCTGTCCTAGTACACTCGGGCGACAATCACGGTGGTCATTATGTGGTCTATATCAATCCCAAATGCGACGGCAAATGGCTAAAGTTCGATGACGATGTGGTCTGTACATGCCTGAAGAACGAGGCGATTGATTTGAATTATGGTGGCGTGGATGAGGAAATATCGTTCCATCCAAAGTGCAGTAATGCCTACATGTTGGTGTACATTCGAAAGTCGGAAATCGAACGTGTCCTCAGCGATATACCCGAACATGAGATACCCAGTGAGCTAGTCGAACGTTTGGACTTGGAGAAACGCATTGAAATGGCCAAACGCAAGGAGCGCAGCGAGGCAAACTTGTATGTGTCCATACATGTAATTCTAGAGGAGTACTTTGAGGCCCAACAAAAGCGACGTCTATTCGATCTGGATAAGGTACACCAGAGATTGTTCAAAATGAAGCAGACCCAAACAATTGACGATATGATGGATCAATTTGTCAAATCCTTCTGTGTACCTAAGGAACGCATGCGTGTCTGGATTATGTATGCCACCCAGACACAGAAGTTCCTGTACTTTGATTTCCATCGGGAGGGCGGTCGTTCCATCGACCAAATAACAAGTTCACAAAAACCATGGGTTATATTCCTTGAGTTGGCGCCACCCGATAAAATTGGTCGTGCACTGCCCCCCTTCGATCCCAAGATAGAGGTCTTGATCTTCTACAAGTATTACGATGCACGCAACAAACGACTCAATTACATTGGATGTGCTCAGCAGCCATTGGGTATGTGTTTGGCGGAATTGGTGCCCGATATTAATGCTCGTTTGGGCTTTGACGCCGACACCGAACTGAGCGTTTTCGACGAATGCAATGACCGTAAAATAACGAATTTGAATGATTCTTTGGAGAATATATTGTCGCTCAATCCGGATAATGCGGATCGTGGCAGTCTTCAGGGTTACATATTGATATTTGAAAAGGAACATATTGATCCAAAGCTTGAATTGCCGACCGTTATAGATTACTTTAGCGACTTGGTGTATCGTGTTGAAATCACATTCTGTGATAAAAGTAATCCCAATGAACCGGAAATTGTATTGGAATTATCAAATCGTTATAACTATGATCAAATGGCCCAAGCAGTTGCCGAACGATTAAATACGGATCCGAATAAGTTGCAGTTCTTTACTTGTACTGGTAGTTACAAGGATCAACCGGGTACGGCTATTCAGTATAACCAAAAGGTAAGTGGATCGATTTTTTAATTGTGGGTGTATGTGTGCTGGTAAATAGTGTTTGACATAGTATGCGTCGCAATTTCCAAACGAACGATCTTTTGTGGTCTAAATGCTACTATACTGGTCTACAACCGAGTGTAGCATTTGAAACTGGTCTGTATATTATCTTCATAATGGAAACAGTGCAGAGAATCACATTCATTACAAAATTGTCCATCTGTTCGGATTAACATATAACAGAATACAGCACCCATATATTAGTTCTATATATTTTCATCCTATTCATATTTCATTCTGCTAACCTGTTTTTTGTTTTGTTTCTAATCTTTTTCAGGGTTGTCTCAAAGATCTATTAGCATTGGCATCATCCAAGCAAAGCAATCCAAAAAAGCTTTTCTATCAAAGACTGTCACTGAGCATCCACGAACTTGACAATAAGAAGCAATTCAAATGCATTTGGGTTTCAAATGACCTCAAGGAAGAAAAAGAATTGGTATTGTATCCCAATAAAAATGACACAGTTCGAGGTTTGTTAGATGAAGCGGCTAAAAAGATACAATTCTCCGAGAATAGTTCGAAGAAGTTGCGTTTGCTTAAGGTGAACAATCATAAAATCGTAATGGTTTTCAAAGAGGACACGCCCCTCGAATCTCTGCAAAAGGCCACTGAACCCATAACACCTCAGAGTACTCAAAAGACGTTCCGTATCGAAGAAGTGCCTCTTGAAGATTTACAACTTGCTGAAAATGAAATGCTCATACCAGTTGCCCACTATAGCAAGGATGTCTTCAGCGTTTTCGGTGTGCCATTCCTAATTAAGGCGCGGCAAGGCGAACCCTATGGCGCTCTCAAGCAGCGCATACAGAAACGTTTGAATGTGCCCGACAAGGAATGGGAGAATTATAAGTTTGCCATTATCGGTGGCAGTACACCCGATGTCAATGACAATACGCCCGTTGATTTGGCTGTGTATCGAACATTGAGTGCCAATGCGCCATTCTTTGGCCTGGATCACATTAACAAGTCTCGTAAACGAACATCGTTGAACTTTTCCGAAAAGGCCATTAAGATTTATAATTAAAAAAACAATTACAAAATAGTAACACAAATACACTTAGAGATCACATATACAAATATACACACACACGTACACACACACCCACATACACTATTATTATAAAAATAAAAGCAAAGTAATGTGTGAAAAAGATAAGAAAATAGAAGAAAACTGAAAATTAAAAAAAAAATACATGATGATTTTTACGACAAGAGAAGAAAAAACAACTCCAAGAGCCTAAAAGTTGCACCAAGTGTAAACCATGTTGCACCTAGTGTTGTCCAGAATTCGTATAACACTTATTCCGTTATCAAGAACATTTCAATACCAAGGCCACCCCACCACATAATGTATTTAAGAAAGAATTTACGAACCTGTGAAACCATTTGAGGCAATTGTTTCAATAAATTACCTTGCGATATAACCAACCAATCAGCCAGCCAGCCATCCATTCATATGAATTCTGTTCTTGAATGATATCGACATGTTAATCCTTATTATGCTGAATAAAAGTTGGTCGTACATGTATTCCAACACTTTAATTCAATATCGTCATCATCATGAAATAATTTAAATCAAAAGTCTTTTGGGGCAAATCTACAATAAATCGCCGGACATATATCTCTTTTACAACAATAGGAAAAACCACCAACTCATCTACAACAAACAGCAACATCAAATATTATCAACAACAGACGAGACCCGAAAACGAACAGCAGCAGCGGCAGCGGTAACAGCCTGCAACAATAACAGCAACAACTACCAACATCCACGAAAACATCAAATGATACATAACACTTCTAATGAGGAAACTAAGCGTTTGTTATTTATGTTTATTATTACAAAAACAAAACAAAAACAAAAAAGAAAAATTATATATTATAAATATGAAAAATTTGCAAAACAAAACAAAAAACTATAAAATTTAAAACTCTGTCAACTGTAGTTAAGATATGCTTCTCCAGCAAAAAAGAAATAACAAAAATTAACCTAAAAATTATAAATAACTCAAAACACAAATGTTTTAACAAATATTTTCTTTTTTTTTTTTTGAATTTGGAGATGTTTTTTGCACAGAGAGATGGAAGAGGTAAGATTGAGTACAAACAACAAGTGAAAAAAGCGGTAAGTTCGCTCGGGACTTTGGATACCTTAGGTATACTGACACAGGCACTTGAAATAAAACTATATTGAACATAGGAAAAAAGAGAAAAAGGACCTATACCGATAATTCTGTAAACCGATTTATGTAAACCATAATGTACACTAAATAAAAATTCCAGCAGATTTTAATGGAGATTAAAAAAAAAACCAAAAAGTGGACCGATGTTGACGACGCATGGTAGGGAGGAACATCCCCAAAATACTACAATTTAGTTATATGAGGCCATGGCCATTTTATGGGGTCTAGGCATACATACGGGCCGATATAGTGCATTCTCGAACCATATCATCCTCAGGTAGAATGATTACAACCTAGTCTAAGAACCAAACCCTAAGTCTAAAAACCAAATCAGATAACTATTTTATTGTAAACAAGTGAAAAAGCTTTAAGTTCGGCCGGGCCGAACTTTGGATACCCTAAACCATAGGTATACTGACAGATACTTGAAATGAAAATATAGGGAACATACCAAAAAGTGAAAATTCTACAAACCGGTTTATGTAAACCATTGGGTACACCAAATACAAATTCCAGCAATTTTTAATGAAATCCTCAAAGCGTGGACTGATATTAATAACACATGGTAGAAATATACAATCATCAATCTACTGCAATTTAGATTACATATTGTAGAAATTAGCGAATATTTGGGATTATAATGAGGGATATGCCTAATTAATGACCGACATATGCCAATTTCGAACCCAATATTTTTGTTTTGTGCCTCAATTCTTTCCTTCAGAAGGTGTAATTATATGGAGGGAACATACCAAAAAGTGAACCTATACCGAAAATTCTACAAACAGGTTTATGTAAACCATTGGATATACCAAATACAAATTCCAGAAATTTTTAATAAAAACCTCAAAGCGTGGACTGATATTAATAACACATGGTAGAATATACAATCATCAATCTACTGCTATTTAGATTATATTTTAGATTTTGTGCCTCAATTCTTTCCTTCAGGAGGTGTAATTATATGGAGGGAAATGCCTAAATGCTGGCCGATATATTTAATTATCGTCAGGTTCGGGTTTTTTATGAAAATTTCTTTAGAAAGCGAAATGATTACATCCGATGGCTAAATCGTCTTAGAATTCCATAATTTGTAATGTCAAACTCACTACATATTTAGAGTAACAATTATCCCCCAACACACGGAACTAATCAGCTAACTATTCCTATATAAGGGGGTTATATGGGAACTACCCCTAAAAGGGAGCGAATATAAGTAATTTTTGGTAGGAAGATTTGTTACCATATGCGACAACAAAATACCAAATTACATCAAGTTCGCTCAAGAACCCTAAAATACCGAAAATGGAGGGTGTCTTATATGGGGGCTACCCGAAAAAATGGGCTTATATTTATAACTTTTAGTGAGGAGATTTGGTACCCAATAAGAACTTATTGTACCAAATTTCAGCGAAATCGGTTTAAAAACCCGCTTAAACCCTCCCAAAATATCGTAAATTAAGGGGTAACGTTATATAGGGGGCTACCCGAAAAATGGACCTATATTTAAAATTTGTAGTGGAGACATTTTGGTACCCAAAAAGAACCCAATGTACCAAATTTCAGCGAAGTTGGTTGGATAGCGCGCTCATGAAAAATTGAGGGGGTCTTATATGGGGGCTACCCGAAAAAAATGGGCCTATATTTATAATTTTTAGTGAGGAAATTTGGTACCCAATAAGAACCCATTGTACCAAATTTCAGCGAATTTGTTTTAATAACGCGCTTAACCCCCCAAAATACCGTAAATTGGGGGATACCGTTATATGGGAGCTACCAGAAAAAGTGGACCGATATTTACAATTTTTTGTGAAGACATTTGGTACCCAAAAAGAACTCAGTGTACCAAATTTCAGCAAATTCGTCTGAATAGCGCGCTCAAGAATCCCAAAATAGCGAAAATTGGTAGGTAAACTTATATGGGAGCTATGCCTAAAGGTGGACCCATATTTATAATTTTTTGTGCAGACATTTGGTACCCAAAAAGAATCCAATGTACCAAATTTCAGCGATTTCGGCAGAAAAGCGCGTTCAAGGACCACAAGATACCGAAAATTGAGGGGTACCCTTATATGGGAGATATGCGTAAACGTGGACCGATATAACCCATCGTAGGACTTGCCTAAGATGGAAACTATCGGCAGTATCCGATAAGCTAATGCTGCTTTTGAGGCAAATAGCCACAGAGTGTAGATGAATCAAACATTTTTGGAAATCCAAAGGGACTTTGGAAACCCCTGATGACGAATATGTCTCCCAAAAGTTGTAAGTCAATACCAAGCGATCGCTGCTACTTTTGTATGAGATGTTCCAAAATATGATGATGAGAGAAACCTAGTAACCTGCTTTAAAGAACCCTTCGGTGCTGTAGATGGACCTTTTGTGTAATAGCGCCTAAGAAAGATTATAAGACTCACAGCGGGAAGACGAAAGTCCTAACAAATGACAAGTCTTCACAGGAACCTTCGATGCAAACATCAAAGCGCAATAAGACGAGAAATGTTAAATGTTTGTTAAACTGATTCACAAATGTCTCATTAACATTTTTTAGTGAAAATCTCTTCAACTCTTTTAAATATAACCGATTTTTCGAATTTTAACAAATTATAGTACGAACCGATATTCCATTGGTCGGAAATCATGTCCGCCCTAAAAAGACTATTCTTTTAACTACTTTGCTTCAAATACATATATGCAAAGTTACAAGTCTTCAATATATTTGCCAGCCGGTTGAAAATCGTCGAAATTTGATATCTTAATGCAAAAGTATCCAATTTGGATGACAATGATTCCTAAATTATAAAGGTTGGACTAAAATTCCTAAATTATAAAGGTTGTACCTCGGCTTCAGCATTGTATAATTATTGGCAGTATACCTATGTCGGTACCAAGGTAAAAAATTGTGGCTGTGAATAATAATGGGATCTATTTCTGATATGTACACCTACTTCGTTTTTCATATATATGACACGTCAACTGCCCAGGGAGCTAAGACATCTGATGGCAATTTATCACCGGCCCAAAGGAATTGCTGGGTTTCACTTGCTATTCGCTATCAGATTTTCCACAGTAGACTTTATGAATCCCTTAGCAGTATCATTACCGGTTTCAAAGGAATTATCGGACAAACTTCCTCAAGAATTTCAGAATTTCAAACTGATAGGGTTTGTCAATTTTCATGGTCAATTTTCTACATTAGCATCATTCGTTGCCAAACTTTATGCTTCGTTGATTTTTTCTACAATTGATTTGAAATATCTTCTTTCTTCGTTCTACTAAGTTTTTTCTTTATTATTACAAACTAAAAATCTATTTAAAAAAAATACAAATAATTTTGCCACAAAACTTAAATTAGAATTTACGTCTTTTCAAAATTTCCGGTCTCCAGTTGACCGGATGCGATTCCTCCGTCGCCTCATCATCTTCTTTGTAAATTTTAATTGTTTTATCAGCTTCGGCGGTGATCAAACGAGAACCCGACTGATCGAACGACATTGCAAAAATACCCGCTTCACTGTCCATTGAACCGGGTTGAACGGGGGCTTGGAAACGTTGGAAATTATAACCGGTACGCCAATCCCAGAAGAACATTGTGCCGTTGTCACCACCCGACACCAATACACCATCGGGATTTACAGCCATGCAATTAACAATGGCATTGTGACCCGAAATATTTTGTACAAAATTGCCCTCTGGACATCGCCATTGTTTTATGTTATCCGGAGATGCAGAAGCAAACATATACAGGGTGGGATGTAATACAACGCTACGCACCGATTTTTTGTGATTGGTTAGCGTACAGACACTCTTGCCTGCAGCCAAATCCCATAAACGTATTGTGGAATCGTGAGAGCCGGTTATAATTTGTGGATTACTGGCCTGAGCTACCACACTGGCCACAGTGTTTGTATGTCCCGTAAGCGTATGAATATTGGCCTTTGTACGCATATCCCATATGCGGGCTGTTGAATCACGACCGGATGTTGCCAATACATCAATAGTTGGATGGAGAGCCAAAGAGTAGACGGCCGATAAATGACCATGATAGTGTCGTATAACTTTATTATATTCCAAATCCCAACATTTCACCTGGCGATCTTCGCCACAACTGAAGAGGTACGGATGTTTGGCACTTACCGCCAAACCACGCACAGTACTCACATGACCGGTAAGTGAAAGTTTCAGCTTACCACTTGCCAGATCCCAAATCTTTATGACACGGTCACCGGCACCGGTGGCAAACCACTCGTTACCCGGCTCCACAGCAATACAACGAACCCAACCCAAATGACCAGATATGACTCGAGACAATTTCCAAGGTGCATGCCATGAAGGTTTCGGTATTGTGGGTGCCTTTTTGGGTATTAGTTGGACATTGTTAGCTCCTGCAGAAGAACGCATGCCAGGCGCCGATACTAAGGAGTTGCTAATGGGTGTGTCGGATGGTTTATTAGAGGAAGCCATTATAGCCAACTGGCCGTCTGTGTTGTTTGCAGATCCATCTGTTATTGCTAACGGAGTTTCTGGCGCTTGTATTGCTCCGGCACTTGATCCCATACCATTGGCAAGTTTCTTTTCCTGTTCAGCTTTGGCGACACGATCAAAGACTAGTTTATAGCTATCACGGGCTTTAATGGATTTTCTTTTCTCTTCCCTGCAAATGTAAAACTATTATAATTCTATTATGGAGAAATTTTCTGCTTTAACTCACAGTTTTTCATCGATTTCAGGCAGGTTTCCTTGGTTTGATACAAACATATCGTGTGTCCGTTTTAAGGAACGAAATATCAGCGTATGGACACTGTGTCTTTGTACTTCCTCCATTGTGGGGATTTATTAAATGCACAGGACTAGAAAATTTATAAATTAAACGTTTTCGACACCTGAGATGCGGTGTTTGTCCTACTACATGTGATAGCGTCGTTAGTTCAATGTTATTCACTGAAGGAATTTTGTGAACTAGTTTCATGTTACGAATGAAGAAAAAAGGGAAAACAAGAGTTGTTGATATTGTGACGAATGAAAAGAGAAAGTGAAATTACGAAAACAACAACTGTTGATTGTTTTTTAATCGATAAATGTGTAAAATTGTATGACGTTTACACGTACGCGATTTGTATACACGCTGTAGATATTAAATGAGAAATTTGACATGACCGTTTATGTCCGTCATTCGCGAAAATCAAGGTCTATTAATAAGGTCACCCAGCAAGTGAAAGTCAGCTGTTGTTTTCTGAAGTCAAATATAAAAATTTGGATTTGGTTTACCTTTTCATAATGGAAGTCTATTCACAATAATGGATTTAGGCTGAGAAGCTGGAAGGCAGCTGATATTAAGCCGGTCTCCCTGGATGATCTTATTAACAGGCATTGACGAAAATGTTCAGTGTTCTTGGATAGTGAGTAGTCCATAAAAATGTCTGTCAAAAATCTTATCATATCTATAGATGAGTACACATTATCACTTTGGAATGAAAGTTTCAGATTTTGCTTGTTTGATACTGTGCCATACATATTTGTCATTCATCAGACATCCATGAACACATTCGTGGGTATTCGACAGTCAGTGATATATATAAAATAATCTGTCAGTCCAAACTGATTGTGTGTACTAACTTTGCGTACCCCTATTATAAACAATAATGCTTAATCGATAAACGTTTACCGATAAATCAACAAATTATCGAAATATTGACATCACTGGACCATGCTATTTTTGTTCTTTTCGATTTTGACATCTGAGACGACGGCATGTTTACATAGTTTGTCTGCCACGAGTGTTATTTTCATAAAATTCTTAATTATTTTCCCATAAAAACACCGGGCCAATATGCCGAAAGTTCGAAGTACCACGGGGGCACCCCGCAAACAGGGGTTCAATAAGTCCAACCATTCCATGAACCCCGAAAGACCCAAATCTGGCCTTAAGGGAGTAGCGAATCCGAGAACAAAGGGTACTATCAAACGTTTGCAGATGTACAGAAATTTCAAGGCCAAGAGAGATCGTAATGGTAAAATTTTAACTCCTGCCCCTTTCCAGGTAAGCTGCAATTTATAATTATTAAATATTGAACAATTAAGTAAACTATTGCGTTCTATCTTACAGGGCCGTCTGCCATCTGGTACTATGGCAAGAGTTGAACCAACACCCAAGTGGTTCAGTAACTCTCGTGTCATATCACAGTCTGCACTACAGAAATTCCAAGATGAAATAGGAAAAGCTGTCAAGGATCCATATCAGGTTATTATGAAGCCCAGCCAGTTGCCCATAACATTGCTGAATGAAACGGCAAAACATCAAAGGGTACATCTCTTGGAAACCGAAAGCTTTGAAAGCGTTTTCGGACCAAAGAAGCAACGTAAACGTGTTAATATTAAAGTTCGCGATCTTGAGGATTTGAGTCGTAAGGTGGAGGAACAAGCTGAGGAGTATGATGCCACCAAGGATGTTGATTTGGTGCGCGAAGATACCGGTGTAAAAGATGCTCAACGCGATTGGGTATTTGCTGCTGGCCAGAGTAAACGTATTTGGAATGAATTGCACAAGGTGGTGGATGCCTCAGATGTTCTCCTGCAGGTTCTAGATGCCAGAGACCCCATGGGTACACGCTCCAAATATATTGAAGAATTCTTGCGTAAGGAAAAACCCCACAAACATTTGTTCTTCATCTTGAACAAAGTCGATTTGGTACCGGTGTGGGTAACACAACGTTGGGTGGCCATCTTGAGTGCCGAGTATCCCACCATTGCCTTCCATGCTTCATTGCAACATCCCTTCGGTAAGGGTGCTCTCATCAATCTGTTCCGTCAATTGGGAAAACTGCACATAGACAAGAAACAAATCAGTGTCGGTTTCATTGGTTATCCCAATGTGGGTAAATCGTCCGTCATCAATGCTCTGAGATCCAAGAAGGTTTGTAAGGTTGCTCCTATTGCTGGTGAAACTAAAGTTTGGCAATACATTACACTGATGAAACGTATTTTCCTGATTGATTGTCCCGGTGTGGTTTATCCCTCGGCTGAAACGGATACGGAGAAAGTGCTAAAAGGCGTTGTACGTGTGGAATTGGTAACGAATCCCGAGGATTATGTAGAGACGGTATTGAAACGTATTCGCCCGGAATATATAAAGAAAACGTATAAAATTGAAAGATGGTCATCCCATATGGATTTCTTAGAACAATTGGCCAAAAAGACAGGAAAACTGCTAAAGGGTGGTGAACCTGACATTACAGTTACCGCCCGTATGATACTCAACGATTTCCAAAGAGGCAAACTACCATTCTATATTGCACCAGAAGGCTTTGAAGTGCCAAAATCCCATGGCACTGAGACAGAGGAGAAACCAAAAGATGAAGAATCCGAAGACAAGGGCGATGAGAAATCTGAAACTGCCACGGTTGTTAGTGAATCTGTTAAAAAGGCCAAGGAATTCAAACAGCTGCAAGATTTCCGTAAGATTAAGGTGGCTGTCGATTTCGTCGAAGACGATATCAAGGAATTGGATAAAATCGATTTGGAACTTTTGGAACAACAGAAGGCCGAAAGGGCTGCCCGCAAGAAGGCGCGTCTTCTCAAACAAGGAGAAGATGATGAAGACTCCAGTGACGGGGCTAGTGATTTCTATTCCGAAGATGAATACGATGAAGATCTTAAGAAGGTCGTGCACAAAAAGGCGGCGCCGAAGAGAACTAAAAATGTTGCCATTACATCGTCGGGCAAATTTAGAGTACGCGAAGAAATTGAAGATTCTGGCAGTGATTCAGATGGTCCATCGGGAGCACCGCCGGCTAAAAAGAAATTAACAGCCAAACAGAAGCGTACCTTGGAAAGGCAAGAAAAACGCAAGAAAGTGGGTAGTAATTTCTATGAAGTTACAAATGTTAAGAATCGTAATCGCAATAAGAAGGCGAAAAATTAACATACTAACTGAATAGATTTGTTTCTTTAGATTCTATTGATTAAATATACCTACTACTGTTTCTTTTCTTAAACTTGTATTAGCTAATAAGGCCAGAGTAACAAAATAAATACATAAAAATTTATATTGTTAAATAAATTTGTGTTTTGTTATTTTCGTTTGGGATATATAAAGGTTATTTATCATACTCTTGATCCAAGGGTGTCAGATAAGGCTGGGTTTTTGGAAATTCGTACTAAAACGGTACGAAAAGTACTAAATATGTACTTTCATTTGTATTTGGCGTACCGGTAGAGCTAGAACTCTGTAATTTGGATTGAGGGTCACAGATGGAGTGTAGAATAGATGTAGCAAAGGGTTTTTTTTGGGAAATTCGAATTATAAGTATCCGAAAAATACTAAAATATACTAAATGGTGAAAATTGAAATTAACATTACCATAGGAGTGTAGGTTTGGGATATGTACCTATGTGTACGAAAAGTACTAAATCGTACTAAAATTGGAACAACAATGTAATTTGGAGTCAGGATCACTGTTTGAGTGTAGGATTATGGTATGTAGGGAATTTTGAAAATTCCTACTAATGTGTACTATATGGTACCAAATTCGGATTTAGGTGAACAGATAGAGCTGGAGTTAGGATCATTGTTGGGGTAGAATTGAGCTATTTAGGAAGTTTTGGAAATTCCTACTAATGTGAACTAAATTTTGTACAATTTAAATTTTGGGTGAACCTATGTGTGAAATTTTGGAAATTTGTACTAAATGGTACCAAATGCGGGTTTGGGCGAACCGATTGAGTAGGAATTTTGAAATTTGACGTTCGAATCACTTTTAGGGTGTAGGATTGGGCTTTGTGGCAATTCGTACTAATGTGTACTAAATTTGGTACAATTAAAATTTTAGGCGAATCAATAGAGCTGTGGGTCGATTCACTATCAAAATTTAACTATTCTCAAATCGATAAAATATTATAACGACAAAATAAACAATATTTTAATTCTATAACAGTTTTTAACAACAATTTTTAAAAATGTTGTTAATAAACAACACCAAAAATATTCGAAGTTAACTTATCGACAAATATTCTTCAATGTTGAACATGCCTTGTTTTGTTCAAAATTTGTATGTATTTTGTTTTCAAAATGTTCAAAATTAAAAGCTTTTTGAAAGTTTATCGACAATTTGTCTACTTTTTTACAGAATAACATATTCGTTACTGCAAACGATTTTATGTGTAGACAAAATTGTCGATTGTCGGATCGTTATAAGTTACTGAATCGACCTACTGGAAACCTGTGGGTCGATTCACTATCAAATTTAAACAATTCTCAAACCGATAAAATATTATAACGACAAAATAAACAATATTTCAATTCTATAACAGTTTTTAACAACAATTTTTAAAAATGTTGTTAATAAACAACACAAAAATATTCGAAGTTAACTTATCGACAAATATTTTTCAATATTGAACATGCCTTGTTTTGTTCTGAATTTGTATGTATTTTGTTTTCAAAATGTTTAAAATTAAAAGCTTTTTGAAAGTTTATCGACAATTTGTCTACATTTTTACAGAATAACATTTTCGTTACTGCAAACGATTTTACGTGTTGACAAAATTGTCGATTGTCGGATCGTTATAAGTTACTGAATCGACCTACTGAAATTTGAAGTTAAGGTTACTGTTGGGATGTAAGATTGGGCTATGTAAAATATTTTGGAAATTTGTACTAATGTACCAAAAGTGGATTTGGGTGAACCGATAGGGCTGGAACACTGAAATTTGGAAATAAGGTTACAGTTTGAGTGTACGATTAGGGTGTGGATGCAGTTTTACAAATACAATGTATGGGTAATAAATTGTATTGAATTTTGGGTGAACTGATAGAGCATTGTTGGGATGTAGTATTAAGCTATGTAAAAACTTTTTGAAATTCGTACTAATTTGTACGAAATGGTAATAAATTTGGATTTAGGTGAACCGATAGAGCATTAATCTTTAAATTTGATGTTAGTATTACTGTCGGGGTGAAGGATTGGGCTTTGTAGAAAGTTTTGAAAATTCTTATTAATGTGTACTAAATTTGGTACAAATACAATTTTGGGTGAACCAATACAGCTGCAATCTTGAAATTTGGAGTTAGGATTTATGTGGGGATGTAAGATTGAGCTATGTAGAAAGTTTTGAAAATTCGTACCATTTTGTATACATTAGTACAAAATGATACCGAATGTATGTTTGCGTGAACCGATAGAGCTTGGTACCATTTTGTACAGTTTTGGAAATGTCCACTAATGTGTATTAAATGACACTTAATTTGATACAATTTCGATTAAAATCTAACCGATAGAGCTGGAATCCTGAAATTGAGTAATAAGATTTCCATTGGATTGTATGATGTGGGTATTTTGAAACAAATTGGATTTAGGCGAACCGATAGAATCCTGAAATATGGAAGTGAGATTGGGGTATGTGGAAAGTACTTATTTTGGATTTGGGTGAAGCTGTATTTTTGAAATTTTGAAATTTCACAAAAGTACAAAGAGTAAAAATGACAAATTTTGTATAGAGCTAGATTTCTTTTGCGGTCAGAATTGGTGTGCAGGTTTGAGATATGGAGGTAGTTTTGGAAAATCGTACTATAAGAGAAATTAATTTTTCAATTTCAATTTATTTCATAATGTCTCTAATAGTGTTAATAATTGTTGGTATTTGATTTTAAATACTTCCTTCCCACATTCGCTAACAAAGCGGGTATATGCTAGTCTTAAATATTTCTATTGTGATTTCAACAGACGGACATACTTAATCGACATATAATTTCATTTTATTTAAGAATATATGTATATATCTTTGTGGGGTTTCCATAGCAGGACATACACTAAAGCCTGTTATGCGCTCCAGAAATAAAAAAGTCAAAACAAACATATTGAGATTGGATTAATGTTAAGCGAACCTATCCAGACCTCCAATAAGGAAACTACAACGGAACCAATATCTCCACTGAAAACTTTGAAGAGGCCTGTATTGGACGACAATATGTGTAGTTTCTATGTGACTACGAATGATAATAAATATGGAAAAAAGGAATACGTAAACGTAAATACATTAATACATCGAGGTCGAAATACTGGACATTCCGTAATTGGTTGTTGTAGCTGAGGTGATAGACGTTGGCCGAGTAAGACTCGGGTTGTTTCGGATCGTAGACTTCTCTGTCGTGTAAACGCCGTAATTGGTGATATCACTTGGTAATGTCACTTAAAATCAAATCATTCTGTAAAGCCTTGACTTGGGAACACAGAAGTGTTGCCGCAATCTATACAATTAAATAAATTATATTTTTGTTTCATTTGTTTTTTGTTTATTGTTGTTCTTGGTGTTTTTTTGTTTTCAAAACATATAATTATTATGAATTAGCAGGCACTGGTGAGCCCGATGCCGCATTACTTGATGACAATGATGACGATGTAGGCGAAGACGCTGACGAAGTACCCATTACTGATGCATTCTCCTGTGCAGCTCTGTTAATAACAAAATTTTCAATCTGTAACAAAGCGAGAAAATGAATTGTAGATTTTAATAGGAGAGAATATTTGTAGATGCAATAGAAGTATGAATCACACACACACATTTTTTTAATTGCAAATGAAATAAAATGTATATTTTTTTTGGAGAACACAATTAAACAAATTCGTTTCCTGTCCATAACTAATAATATCCATAAATACATCATGCAAATTATTATTTATACACCCTCCTCCTACTTACCATTTTCTTAATATAGTTGCATAAGTTCTTATTGCTTGATGTGGAAATCACATTCTCTGCCCTATATGGCGGCGTAATGGTAACTTCTTTGAATATTTGTATATTTAAACCCTGCCAAGATACTTCGTTATACTGAAAATAAATAAATAATTCGTGTTAATAAATTAGGGCTGTTTAGAATGTAAATGAAACAAAACAAAGAAGGTAGCATACCTTAAATTGCTTAGCAATCACTCTGTATAATTCTTGTGCCTCCGGGCTAACATCAGCATTTTTCGACTTGAGATACGTTTGACGATGTTGTACTGTTTTGCGTAGCCTTATTTTCAACTGAAATCGACGAAATGAAGAACGAAAAAAAAGAAAACCGGAATTTGAACAATGGCAATAAAAATGTCAAATATTTGAGATAAAAATGTAAATATGAAATAAAAGGTGAGATGAATGTTTTAAAATTCCATATTAAAAATATTTACAAAATTTAACGTATTTTCAATAATATTTTTATAACCTTTGCTTATGTGCTGGAAGTTTTTAAATTTGTATTTCGTACTTACTTGTTCCAAATTTAATTTTTGTGGATCTTCAACAAAATTGCCGTTGCATTCCTTGATCACTTGAACATTACTGCATAATGAAAGATTCAACACATGAACATCATTTAAATGTTCTGCATTTTTAGATCGGCATTCTGATTCGTTGATATTAATAGTTTTTTTTTATTAAGGAAACCATACGTTTTTGGAATATTTAAATACACAAAGATCGAATAAATAATTTAAATAAGTAATTAAAGCATTATATATGAACCTGTGATACCCTATACCACTTCCAATAAATCCCAGGGCTGATCCGTGTAAATATTACCGATCCCCTTTTATACTCTGCTATCTTATCCCGATGAAGTATCTGTCATATTTTACCAAAAAATAAAAAAAAAATCTAAGAAATGTGGAGATTTGATGGTGGTTGAAATGTCTGTCTAGTACCAATATCTCTAGGTGCAACAAAATAGTTGTGTAGGGTAAAAAAATGAACTTTGGTACTCAAAGGCTTTAAATGTTTAATTAATTTCATGGAACAATCTGAAAAAACCTGAAAGAGCCGATGGTTGTTGTTGTAGCAGATTGTACTGCTGTGTATTTCTTGATCTTATTCTGCTTCTGCTTCTAACTCCATGTTCAAAAAGGCCGATACCTGTATCGGTAGTGTCCAAAGTGGAAATGGTGTTAGATGAGTGGGTTTGACTGGACAATTGAAAATGTGTAGGGTATAATGTGGAGCATTACCACAGCAGAGGTAGCTGCTGCTCTTCTGCTGCTATCGTAGGCGGGTGATCACCGAGGATATTCACACGATATTCTCAAATTGCTTCCTCAACTGCATTCGTGTGAATACGACTCAATCCTGGTTGATAGACCTTTTGATATAGAAGCTCCCTTTTGTACCTTTAGATCTCTCTTTCCAGAGGTATAAATCCGTGTGAATACGACTCAATCCTACTTGATAGGCCTGTTGATCTAAAGGCTCCCTTTTGTACCTTTAGACCTCTCTCTCCCGATCATAAAATCCTTCCTGACATGGTGGCGAGTGTCTATCCAATGATCGTACAATAGATAGGCTCTCAATTCAATTAGTAAGAGGTTAAACTTCTACATATCTGATCTTGTGAATTTCTTTCATCTAAGGAATATGAACATATCCGCCACCATATCAACAGCCACACTCTTCACCATATGTATGGCTAAAAGTAAGCTCCGGCTGAATATATTGGTCGATGGCGAACTGATTCCGACCACAAACTACCCCATGATATTGCTTTATGCGACCAGCTGAGAAGCAGGATCAAGGTCCTCAAGTCGCTAGCAGCCAACACTTGAATCACTGACAAAGAAACCTTGCTGGTCACTTATAAAGCAATAGACCGCTGAGTGGTACGCTATGCGGCACCGGGGTGGTTTGTAAATGTAAGAATACAGAAGGGTTTGCACTGGAAGAATACATGGTGTCTCCTCATGACTCTAGTGGGAGCATCTTTATGAGGAGACAGAGATCTTATCCGTCGATCGGCACAACCATATGTTGTCGATGTATTACCTGCCTGTCATAGCTCGAAGGATATAAGTGTGAAGCTCTAGATCAACGAGCCTAAAGGTCTAAAGGCATTCACACAGACGCAGTCGTTCAGTTAATAAGGCAATATTGTGTGAATACCATACTCGGTGACCACGCCCATACATTGCAGCAGATGAGAAGCTGCTAATCCCACAAAAACTAGTAGTCATAGTTAAACTAAGATAAGGATGGTGCAACCGCCTAAATTCCTATTATGCTAAAATTGACGGATCGATACATGTCCTGCATGTGGACTAGGACCACACGACAGGTTAGACCTCCTCAATTGCCAAGCTAAGCCGACTAGCCGACTATCATCTAATTCCGTTTGGACACAACCCAGACAAGAAGCAGGCAATTCATGTTAACAATTTTTAGAACTATTTTGTTAATCTAGGGGCTATTGCAGAGACGATAGGTGGGGATGATATATTTTATATATGCTAGATGTGGTGATAAAAATACAGCCCCCTTTTGTAGTAACGCGGGAAAGACGTTATCCGGTCCTAACGCTTTCAAGGGTGAGAAGCTTTTTAAGGCGTCTAACACCATTGACTTGTCAATTATAGGTTCCTCTGATCTTTTTTCTCTAACTGCCATAACATCGTCCATTGTTGATGTGTTCGATGGGAAGTGAGCATTCATTGGGAACCTTAGTGTTTCCTCGATTGTTTCTATCCTGTTACCCTCGCCGTCTACCATAGTTTCGGGTTGAATGTGGGTCTTAGATAGAAACTTCTTGATTTTTGAGACGTCGTTCACGCTGTCTACTTGTTCGCGAAACAACTTCCAGGAGTTGTGTTTGGCGTTTCTTGTCAATTTATTGTATTCTCTCCCCTTATCATGGAAGTTGTCCCAGAATACTGTAGATTTTTTTCGGCGAGCTCTAACCTCTCCTTAACCAATCTACCAAACTTTATCCAGTTAGTTTTGGACTCCATAAGTAGCAATATTTCGATCTGTCTTAATTTAGAGGCTCTCTCTTACATACCTTCGGTCATATGACTGCTGGTATTCTTTCCACCATATGATGGAGTATAACACTAGGAGACTATTTTCATGAAATGACAGAGATTCTAGATGAATATCTCCGTCATTTTATGAAAATAGTCTCCTAGTGTTATGAGGAGGCAACCTGTTTCAATTATAATTGCAACTTTTTGAAATGTCTGAACACTTTTACATGAAGTAGCACTAGCACCACGATGGGGCTTAGGGTTGTGCTGACAACTTTAACATGCCACCGAATGTTGGTCGAAATTAACGACGTTCTGAGAAGTTTGAATACGTCTTCATTGTGTAGTACTTTACTACACATCAGGCTGATTTCAACGATTTTCTGGGCAATGATATCCACATGAGAAACTATATACCCAACTATTTCGACTTCGAAGATTTAAAGTAATTATCCCGATGGATAACAGATCGATGGACAGATCGTCCGATCTGTAAATTAATGAGTATATTAGGACCACCTATTGGCTATATCACTGGTAATATGCCACGAGAAGGCAGGCATATCATGAGAAATATAAACATGCCTATCCTCACGACATAGATCTACCTCATTGCTTCTAAAAACATATTGTGTGGAATGATTACATATCACTGCAACATTACGGATATTATCATTTATGTGGGGATAATGAAGAGTTAGAAATGATGGAACATCAAATATTTGACAGATATGTGATTGATACTATTAGCTTCCCGACAATACATCAAACTATTTGAAAAATTTCAATAAAAATTTGCTGTAAGCTCCTACCAACAACAAGTAGTATTGCAATTATGTTTCAGGGTAGGAACCACATAAAGGCACTGCCGCCAGTGCCTCTATGTTGGGACTAAAGCTTTCTGTCTCTATGAAAAACATTAGTATTTTGAATGCTCCCCCCATGTAGATGTGCTCGAGCCCCACTTGTAGATTGGTGGGTCATTAGGAATCGTATAACCGATTATCCACTTGTAGATTGGTGGGACATTAGGAATCGTATAACCGATTATCAAATGAATAATCTGATTATAGGTATGTAACTGATTGGGCTATCTATTTTCAAGAATTTCTTATCTATAACAAATGAACAGATTGTTTTGAAAATATATTATTTACCCCTGCGAATTTATGTTGCTTGCATATTTGCATATTGTTTTTTGTTTTTGGAAACACCATCACCAAAATAACAACTTTCACCAAAATCAATATTAAAGTAGCTTCCAACAACAGCTGTTTCGCCAATGAAAAAAAAAATATTTGTAATTTGTTCGTTCGTATTGAATGCATGTTTTGATTAAATTAACAACCTACCACCCCACCAGCACCACCACACCGCAACAACAACAGCACATTCGTTGTCGTCGTTTTCATTGTGGGGTGAAGAATATTTATGATTTGTTTTCGCTCGCCTATTATCTTATTGTGTGTGTTTTTCTTTGTTTTGAAAAGGATACTTAAGATTAGCATTTTTGTGTTATGGTCAAATGCTAGAACTTCTCCTTCGAATTCCTCATTGAAGCAGGTCGTGCACATCACCGTCGACCCAATACTGAAGCAATCGTTAACCGCGGCCATTTTTAATTATTTTTGTCGTTGCCTGGCTGAGACTGGCCTGCCTGCCTATCTATCGACGACGAGTTGATGCAGTTGGAGGGGGAGTGTGAGTAAGTTGTGCAGCGACAGCAGCAGCAGCTGAACAATAACACCAATCGCTCGCTCGCACGCAATTGCAAGTCAATGCAAGATTGCTGATGATGGGAGGTGATGACGATGATTATTTTCCTTGCACAAACAATTGAAAGTTGCTTTACCTCAACCGTGTGTGTCAATAGCTTCCCGTATGTTTTCAACTTCTGGGAGGACAACCTCTTCGAGTTCTTCGTATTTAGGGCTCTGCAGTAGCTATAGATCGCGCGCGTACACAACAAAAAAACTTTTTCACTTTTCTTCTGGCGTTTGTTTTGTTCTAATTCGATTCGATTTGCCCATACAACTTCTGCCAGCGTTTCTTGGTAACTTTTTTTTCTTGATTTTCGCGATTTCTTCTTTAATTCTCACGAGTTTGTATGTGTGCTCTTGTGTTTTCACTAATTTCTATGTTTCCCAGAAACGAGTTTTCACTTGAATTGTATTTGGAATAAATGCAATAATGTTTCGCAATAGTTTCTCGTAATGAATTATTTAATGAAAACGTGTCGCGTTTAACCATACAATTTTTTGCCAGCGCTTTCTTTAAAAAAATTTTCTCGCGATTTCTTCTTTAATTTTTTTTTTGTCGCACCGATCAAAGAACCGAGCCATACTAATACAGTTGCAGGCGGCGTCAATAAAACATCGAAATGTCGCATTTGGGTTATCATTTTCAGTGATTAGCGGACGTGCTATCAATATTCAGTTTTCGTAGTACCGAATAACCACAAGAATTTCTATTTCAGTTAATAAGGCTTTTTAAAAGAATTTCAGCGAAAATTTTCAATAATATTTGAGAAGTTAAAAATTTAAATGTCTTTTTGTAAACATTAGGTTTGTCTCTCTCAACTTTCACTCATTTTCTGAACTTTTAAGTTATCAAATAACATTCAGTAACAATTTGTACAAATTGTTACAAATTCTTGTAATATCAAACAAACCTATTGTTATGGAAAATAGCCTTGATTTATATTAGGTGAGTTTACTTGCGGCAAGTCTTTGTTTGTAGGAGAGAGGGGCAAGGGGAATAGAAATGAAAAAAAAATTGCTCGTACCGACAATTTTCTGGCAATTCGTTTTGTTTATTTCGTATTTGTTGACATTTTATATAGATTTAAATGTGAAAAAAAAAACAAATAGAAAAATATTTTGGAAACCGAATTGCCTTGTATAAACGCATGAAGCAAGTTCAAAAGAGAACGACAAGAATTGCCGCAAGTAAACTCGTCTAATCTAAATCAAGACATAAATGAAACAACAATTCTTTCAGAAGAAAGCTGTAAAATGGTTTTCATTTCATTTCAATTTTATTTTCATTTATTTGTTTTATTATCTTAATTTTTTTGATATTTGAGAAAAATAATAATACAAGGTAGAGCAACTTGAGGAAAATAACAAAAAAGCAACTATGTAGTCAGTGACTTCTTCTGTCAAATATAAAATAAATATACGCAACAGGCTGTAGTGATTTGTGCCACTTTTTTCAAAACATATGGTCTGTTCCAGAACTTGAAAGAATGTAAAATTTTTTACTATGATAACAATTTTTCCTTTACGATATCGGAAAAAATAGTAAAAATTAGTAGATTCTCGCAGTACGCGAACAGACTAATAATAAAAAAAAATATGAAAGGCTATGATTCTCTTCCCATAACAAAGTAAATATTTTGAACTCGGTGAAAAATCGCGGTAGAAAATATTTCTATTTCATTTGAATTTTTTTGACGTTATGAGGATTTATTTCACATTTATGCAAATTGACAATTGAAACCCACTGGGTTAACGAAATCCGGTTAAATGTAAACGTACTACTACTTACATATTTGTGTTTTGTTATTGTATTACTCATGATTCAATAATGAGGTGATGTACCAAAACAAAAACCTTTGTTTTTGTCTCCACCATAGCACAATGAATAGGTAGTCCATTTAGAGCAGCTGACGTCTTGATTAAATGCCAAGTGCGTAATTTCTATTTGAATTTGATGTGCAACGTTGCCAGCCATGTGAAATATTATAAGGAAAAGTTTGGCAGGTGGTCGAGACAAAAACAAAGGTTTTTGTTTTGATACATCACCTTCTTATTGCATCATGGCCTCGACCAAGATCTATTAATAAGGTCACCAAGATTGCAATCGAAATCAAAGTGGGCAATTTCTACTTGAATTCGATGTGCAGGGTTGCCAACCATTTGAAATATTATATGGAAAAATTTGACAGATAATCGAGACAAAAACAAAGGTTTTTGTTGTGATACATCACCTTATTATTGCATCATGACCAAAACCAAACAAACAATACATTTTTGCTTTGTTCCCGTACTGCAAGAACCTACTATTTTTTACTTCGATAACGAATTTTCCTTTATCTTTTCGAAGAAAATAGTAAAATCAAGTCGATTCTTGCAGTACGGGAACAGGTCATTTGAAACCCAACGAAAAGTGTAGCTGACCTTAAGCGGTAATTTTAAAACACTGTTACAGTGTTATTTAAGCCTTTGCCCGCGATCGGTGGCATAACTGAATGCTATCGGGAGTGTCCACAATTTGCGGATAGTGGGAAGTCCTATATTATATATTGGGTTGCTTTGAATGAAAGAAACAGTCTAAAGGAAGGATCTCGGAGGAAATGACCGAGTGTCATTGGTCTGGACCGACAATGCGATTTTTTTATCGCCCCTATAATTAACCAAACATATGCGTTTCTAGATTCCCACCTTAAGGATAATTTCCCTATGTGGTTTGCAGTCAGGATTCCGACTGTATTCGAACGGAGCGTCATTGACAATTGGGCGCCTCAATGAGTATTAGGTTTAGTTACCAAGCCCTTGCCATGCTAAGCAGGACCAATATCAATGAAAATCTGACCGAACAAAGTGGATTCCTCTTTAGTCTCATTGGACATACGGTAGCTTCTGGGATGGGATGATACACCAATGTCAGACGAAGATGATCATGCTCATGTCACTGTCATCAGCACTCAACCCTTATATCGAAAGGAGACGTCAAATATATCAGATGTGAGTGTGGGCTCCTCCAAAGCGGAACCCGTCGTAAATACGTCGACTTTAGTCGACAAGCCATCACTTCTGAGGCAAACGAAGTAAAAAGCGGCTTTTAAAAGTCACTTTGGAACCCTCGCTGGCGACCCCTGCAACCAAAAAAGAAGGATAACGACCCCGACATAGAAATTCAGGTGAATAATGAAGCACCAAAAGTAGTGAGAAGGTACAATAAGAACTATCCGCATAAGGCCTCTAGGAAACTTCCGATCTACCGAATTCCTACCTCGTGTACTGTGGCTACATCTACAGTATGCATCAAAGAATGGGGCAAACACAACGCAGGAGTTGTGTCAGTGACAACATTGTTGATTAAGGTGGAAGCTGTTCCAACCGAAATCCGATTCTCCTCAATGCCTATTACACTATAGAGGATGAAATCGACGGAGGAACAGCAATCAACCAGCAAAGAAGCCTTTGAAGATTCTGAAAAAACTATTATTATTTTCGCTACAGTTAGATGGCGTTGGGTGGCGTAGGGGATGATAGATACCAAGCAACGGCTCTGATTAGCTTTAACATGGCGAAGCCCAGGCTTTTCTTGGTCCCTCTTTCATCTCAATTGTGGACACTGACCTCCCCGCGGTGCCACCTGGGGAGCTATTCTCATCACCCGATGAAATAGTGAGCTAATATGTGCCGCGAGTTCACCCATAAGAACTATAAAAAAATGGGTTGAGGCGTCGGGTTAGTTGCCCACTCTCGGAAAACCCAACCTACTATGAAAAAGCAAAGAAAAAGAAAACCAAAACCCCCCTAATGTTGACGACCCCCGCAAACGTATAAAGGACCACGATCTGCGAATCTGCACTTGGAATGTGCGCACGCTATACAGAACAGGGGCAGTGTTCGCTTTGGCGGATATACTCAAGAAGTACAAAGCCGATATTATTGCCTTACAGGAAATGCGATGGAAAGGGACAGGCGTAAGTAAATCAGACGATTACGCCCTGTATTATAGCTGCCATGAAACGAGACATGAATTTAGCTGCGGATTTATGGTTAACAGGAGAATAAAAGACCTTGTCTCCAGATTCACTCCAGTAGATGAGCGAATTGCTATAATCCGTATAAAAGCGAAGTTCTTTTACATCAGTCTAATTTGCGCCCATGCTCCGACCGAAGATAAAGATGAACAGACCAAAGATATATTTTATGAGCGCCTAGAAACAGCATATGACCGTTGCCCTGGCCATGACATTAAAATTCTGCTAGGAGATTTTAATGCAAAAATCGGAAGGGAAAATATCTTTGGCCCCACCGTCGGAAAATTCAGCCTTCATGAAGAAACATCCGACAACGGCATGAGGTTGATTGACTTCGCGGCAGCAAAAAACATGGTAGTTAGCAGCACCAGATTCAAGCATCTCGATATACACAAGGCCACCTGGATTTCTCCTGATCAAGTAACGAGAAATCAAATTGATCATGTTGTGATAGACGGAAGGCATGCATCCAGTGTTTTAGACGTCCGATCGATCCGAGGAGCGAATATCGATTCGGACCATTACCTTGTGGCAGCCAAGGTACGCACCCGTCTAAATGTTGCAGCAAAGGTGCGATCTAATACAACACGGAAACTCGACGTCGAAAAGCTGCAAACACAACAGGTAGCCGAGGCCTACTCCGCTCAACTTACCCATCTGCTTGAAGAAAGCACTTCTTGTCCCGATAATAGTATAGAAGCACAATGGCAAAGAATTGCCCACTCCCTACAAACTGCAGCAAAAAGAACAATTGGGTACCAAAAACCACCACCAAGAAACCCATGGTACGATCAGGAGTGTCGTATTGCTACTGATGTGAAAAACGCAGCGTATAGGGCAACCCTGCAGACAGTAGCAACACGTAACGTGATGGAGAATTATCGGGAGAAAAGGAGAGAGGAGAAACGTGTTTTCAGAAAAAAGAAGAAAGAACAAGAAAAACGTGAGCGTGAGCAAATCGAGATGTACAGGAGTCAGAATGAAGTCCGGAAATTTTACCAACGAGTAAAACACCAAACCGAAGGCTTTGGTGCAGGCACATCCTCCTGTAGAGATGAAGAAGGAAACCTGGTGACAGATACAGACAGCGTGTTGAGGATCTGGAAGGAGCATTTCGAAAAGCTGCTAGTATCAAATAGTGGCGATGAAGAAGATACCCCAGAACCAATAGGAGATGATGGTATAGAGTGTATACCACCTAGCCAAGATGAGGTCATAAAAGCAATTAATCGGCTCAAGAACAACAAAGCAGCAGGAGCCGATGGGTTACCAGCCGAACTATTCAAGACTGGTGGCCAGATGCTGGTCAGGAGCATGCACCAGCTGATTAACACAATTTGGCTAGATGAATGCATGCCCAATGATTGGAACCTCAGCATCCTGTGTCCCGTGCACAAAAAAGGAGACAAGACGATATGTGCCAACTATAGAGGAATAAGTCTCCTTCCCATCGCATATAAAGTGCTATCCAGTGTGCTGTGTGAACGATTGAAGCCAATGGTCAATGACATCATCGGACCATACCAATGCGGCTTCAGACCTGGCAAATCGACCATAGACCAGATTTTCACTCTGCGCCAAACCCTGGAAAAGACCCACGAAAAACACATCGACACATATCACCTAAAAGAAATGGCACTCTGTACACCAAACAACACCAGTTACTCGCCTACGCCGATGACATCGATATAATGGGTCGAACATTGCGAGCGGTAACAGCCACCTTTGAACAAATTGAAAAGGAGTCTGCCAAAGTGGGTCTGGCAGTAAACGGCGAGAAGACAAAGCTGATGGTATCAACGCGCAAGACGTCCAGTAGACTCGGACCAACTGTGGAACTTGAGAACTACAGCTTCGAGGTAGTTAAAGACTTTATATACCTTGGTACCGCCATAAATAAAACGAATGATATCAGTTTTGAAATTCGGAGAAGGATTGTGATGGCCAACAGATGCTACTATGGTCTAAGTAAGCAGTTTAAAAACAAGGCCACCTCTCGCCAGACCAAACTCACACTTTACAAGACGCTGATACTACCCGTGCTATTATATGGATCAGAAGCATGGGTACTTGCGCAAGCAGATGAGGCAGCGCTTGGGGTGTTTGAGAGAAAAATTCTCCGAAAGATCTACGGGCCGATCTGCGTCGACGGTGAATATCGGCGTCGAATGAACCACGAGCTCTACAATTTATACGCAGACATCGACATAGTCAGTCGTATTGAGCTGCAGCGACTACGGTGGCTAGGCCATGTTGTGCGGATGAATGAAGAAGCCCCAGCTCAAAAGGCATATAAAAATGAGCCTACGGATGGTTCCCGTAGAAGGGGAAGGCCACGAATTAGATGGAAAGACCAAGTAGAAAACAACATCTTGGAACGTGGTCTTCCAAATTGGTGGACTTGCGCACAAAACCGGCGCGCTTGGAAATCTTTTTTAAGCTCGGCTTATGGAACAACCGTTCTGTAACAAGCCAGCTAAGTAAGTAAGTAAGTACAGTTAGAAATGTGAACAGCTGTTTTTGTACTAATTCATTCAGATTATTGCATCATGTCGGAAGGAGAAGGGGAGAAATTTCCCAGGGAAATTCTGTTTAGCAAAAGAGTTTTGGTCTTGAATAATTATAGTTGCATTTTTTTAATGTTTGTGCACTTCGGTTAATTCCACTTTTTGAAAATTTTTAAATTTAAGTGTCAAAGCCTTGCTATAGTCATAATTTTTTTTATTTAACAAATCTTTTCTGAATAATCAACATTAGTGCCGTTTTGCATTCACCATTATAAATTTGAATTTATTTTATAAAAATACACTTCATCATCGCTTTTCTCATTTTTTTTTTTTTTGCTGAGAATTAATCGATGTGAACGCCGCCTAATATAATAATTTGTTAAATACCACTTTACAAAAATTTAAAATTTGCAACTGAAATCAAATCCACAATAAAAATTCTTTCGCTAAACAGAAATTCCCCGTGAATTTTCTCCTCTGTTTCTACCGATTGTCAACTGCATTATGTAAGGCTGTTGTCTTTCTTGTATATATTTATTTTACACACAATTTTAGTATAATGATATAAATATATTATATATTTTACACTAATATTTGATATTGCAAAGAAATATTAAAACACATTTATTTGGGTTTTGGGTAGTTGTATAATTTATTGTAAGTTTTTATTTTTACATACACCGAGATCAAAATTTGTTGGGAAGAAAAGAAAACCTTGTTTTTGTTTTTTTTACAAAAAAATAACAATTTTGTTACTAAAAGTTGCATGCATAAAATACAATTAATACTGGAATGATAATTAAATATTATAAAAAGTGTTGTAAATATTCTTAAATATGTTTTAATTTATTAATTAAACAAATCCATTATAAAGATTCGATTATATGGAAGGGGAGACAAAGACACACGTATGGAATTTTTCTTTGGTTAATTTTGTTGTTGTTGTTTTATCTAAGAAAATTAATTAATAAATCGTATAGCAAATGTTAAATATAAATATATATATTGTCTTAAATATCTATCATTTGTAATAATAGTAGCATTGTTAAATATTTGTCATTGTTACATGGTTTGGAATCCTTGTTGGTTGTTGTAGTTGTTGTGAAACACATTTGAGCTATAGGAGGAGTGGAGGTGTTATTGCCAATTTTATAGAGCACCAGCCAGCGTCGTAAATCTTGCATCCTGCGAGCCTATGAATGGTGGGGATGCATTTTCTTTTCCATCTCAGCCTCGACACGGCCTTCATCTATGGTGGCCACAGTTGGCAGGCCGCCGGGCCAATGCAATAGTTCGGACTCATGTTCCATTATCATATTAGCTTCAGCTAAAGCACAATTAAAAAAAAAAATAAAGATACAAAACAAAATAAAAAATATATATTATTTTTTAAGAAATATATTTAATTTATTTGTAATTTGTATTGGTAAAAACGAAGTTCAACCCACATTTGTAAATAAATTCGTTTCGATGATCTCAGCCAAAAAATTTCAATGAAATTATAATTTTGCAAAACGAACATAAAAGCTGTGCCATTTTATTTATTTTTATCATTTTGTCGGTGGTATACCCAGAAATGGGCCCAGTAAGCCCATGTCAGTTATTACTTTGGTTACAGTCATATCTGAAAAATAATAATTAAAATTATAATAAAAATGTAATCTACAGAAAAATGTCATTTGGAAATAGGTTTAATTTTATGTCTATTCATGGAAAGGAACGCTAACAAGCTAAAATGACATTTACACATAAACTATACGTACATTTTACCGGGACAACCTATGGTCTGTTCCCGTACTGCAAGAATCTACTACTTTTTACTACGATACCGATTTTTTTTGTTATCGAATAAAATAGTAAAATCTAGTAGATTCTAGCAGTACGGGAACAGACCACTACTTGATATTTATATAATGAAATTGACAATTGAAATCCACTGGATTTACTAAATCCAGTGCAATATAAATTTACTATAAAGCTGTAAAAGTTACATATACATATCTGAATTGTCCATCCTATTATAGCGGATTTACATACACACTTTATATAATTTGGATTTACGCTTTGAGATCATTTCATTTTATCGAACGTTCCCATGCCTCACTTTTCCACCCCTGCCGACCGAGGGGGCGACCTCCCTTTTTTAGGGATCGCGTACACACCGTAATCCGCATTATGATGGAATATGAGAAGGGATAAATGTTATTAGTTCTATATTCATGCAAAAGTCTACTTTAGAATACACAGAATTGGAATCAAAACACATTTTACTAAATGGATTTCCCATAGAATAATTTGTGCGATGAAAATCTACGTATAATAGTTGAAAATATCTACTGAATCGAAAAGGAACATTTATTTTAATGGATGAAATTAGGAAGTCCGAGGGTATATTTTAATTACCATCATATGGTCTGTTCCCGTACTGCAAGAATCTACTACTTTTTACTACGATAACAAATTTTCCTTTATGATATCGACAAAAATAGTAAAAACTAGTAGGTTCTTGCAGTACGGGAACAGACCAATAGTGTTCAACATAATACGTCTACTTTTTAATCTAGACAATCGAATTAATTACAAAGTCACTATGTAAACCTCTCCGTGCAAGAAGTATAAATTGTTTCTGCACTGATTCAATTTTATCGAAATATATTGTATATTGGGGATCCCATACAACAGAGCCATATTTTAATATGGGTCGCACAAGAGATGTAAAAAGTTGTTTTGTAATGTAGGGATCAGAGAATTCTTTAGCCCATCGTTTTATAATTCCTAAGACACCGTGGGCTTTGTTTACCATACAAATTACATGATTATTTAAATTTAATTTTGGATCCATTAAAATACCAAGATCAACAAATGAATCTACAGTTGATAAAACAGTATGGAAAAACACATATGTTTACATTTGTTTAGGTTTAAATCCATACCATTTAATTCGCACCATTGAAAAAGGCCATTTAAATCATTTTGAAGTAAATTCATACTGAAACCAATTTGATTTAATTTATATATATTTAATGTTCATGGTTAACCCTGCCAAAAACTTTACTGAAGTCAGTGTAAATTGTATCGGTTTGATTACGCTGAATAAAACCTTTAAGGACGGGTGAGGAAAATTGAATAAGATTGGTAATGGTTGAGAGGCCACTACGAAAACCATGTTGATATGAACTTAAAATTGGCTGAACTTTATGAGAAATTACATCAGTAATTAATTTTTCGAATAATTTTGGAATTGCACTCAATTTAGCAATTCCTCTATAATTCGAGGCATTAGTTAAGCTATCAGATTTGTGTAAAGGAACTATATAGGATTTCTTCCAGAAGGTAGGAAAATGACTATATTTCAGGGAATAATTAAACAACAGCGTTAAAGGGATAACCAATGTATCTGAACAGTATTTTAGAATTATGCTAGGAATGCCATCCGGACCTGGACTTTTGTAAAAAAGGCATAGATATTTGATCTATCGTCGATAATTAATATATATATATATATATGTCTTTATTTGGACAGGATGAATATGAATATGTCGTAGCGAAAAATTTTAGAAAGCACTCTGAAATTTCAGATTTTTCCTCAAATGTCTGATTATTGAACTTCAAAATGGTGGGCTTTGACGTAGCTTTTCTTTTTATATTAACAAAGTTATAAAAAGATTTAGGATTGGATTTGAAGTTATGTTTAATATTGTAAAGTTTTCGGGACTCTGTCGTTAAATTTTTTACCACTTTAAAAACTTAAAAAACTTGTAAAATTTTAGATTATTTTAGGTTCTGGAACGGAACTATTGTCATTCCGTATGTAACTCTTCAAAATATTCATTTCCGATCCTATAAAGTATATATATATATATATATATATATATTCTGGATAAGGGTAAAAAAAAGCCATGTCCATCCATCTGTTGTAATCACGAATATTTGCATAGAGTTGTCTTGTCAGGTTAAGTTTGATAATCGGCATAGCCCCTAATATAAGGGTGAGTAACAATTTTCAATTTCAATTTATTTACATTCAATACAAAGAAAACCATTTAAGGCCAATTATACATGTATTGAGAGATTAACATAAAATAAAGCTAAAACTATGGCAGAAAAATAATTTTATTTGTAATAAAGTTAATATAATAATGTAATAAAAAAATAATAAACGAGAATGGCCCCCAGCCATATGAATATTGTAAATAAATATAATATATATAAATACACACCCAAAGCCTGGCAGGAGGCCAGGGTAGTCTTCATACCCAAGCCCGGCAAGGCAAACTACGCAACACCAAAAGCCTACCGGCCAATTAGCCTTACTTCATTCTTACTCAAAACCATGGAACGGACAATCGACACCATGATTAAGAGCAGCATCCCCAATGACACGCTGAAATATAAACAACATGCGTACGTAAAGGGGAGATCAGTGGAAACCGCTTTACATGAGGTAGTACACCACATCGAAGGAACTTTCGATAAGAAAATGTACACTTTAGCCGTCTGCATTGACATCGAAGGAGCCTTCAATAATGTCAGCACCGAAACACTTATCCAATCCTTAGAAGCCTTTAGTGTTGACCAGGCAATTATAGCCTGGGTCAACCATATGCTAAGGAATAGATGGATAAACTGTAGCCTACAAGACATAACTATCAGGACAAAGTAGGACAAGGGACACCGCAGGGAGGGATACTGTCACCACTCCTGTGGGTCACAACTATCAGTAGTCTCTTAAGGAACTTAACCGAGGATGGTTTTGAACCAGTCTGTTATAATACTTCTAAGGGGAAAGAACCCTAACTTACTATGCAGGAAGGCTGAAATGGCGCTAAACATCGCTTTTAATTGGGCGAAGCCGAGGGGTCTAAACGTAAATCCGGACAAAACGGAAATATGTCTCTTCACTAGAAAGACAAAAATAGGACAGTACGAAGAACCAATCTTTCAAAACAAAGTGATAGCTATATCAAATAAAGTCAAATATCTAGGTGTCATCCTAGATAGAAAACTTAGATGGAAAGACCACATACATCAACGGGTCGAAAAGGCCCATAGATGCTGGTCCTTCTGCAGAAGAGCCGTGGGCTCTAAATGAGGTTTCAACCCAAAGATGGTACACTGGATCTACAAAAGCGTTATTAGGCCAATTCTAACTTACGCGTCTGTAGTCTGGTGGACAGCAATGGACAAAAAATTTAATGTAATAGCACTACAGAAAGTCCAAAGAACTTGTTGTCTAGGCATATGCGGGGCAATGCGGACAACACCAACCAGGGCATTGGAAACTATTTTGTACATACACCCAGTTGACATCCAAATAAAATACGAAGCGGCCATCGCAGCTTTAAGACTTAAAGCCATGGATGAGTGGATCGATACCGGACACAACACACCGCGCGAAAATATACTACAGACTACGATCGGATACTCAATTAGCCACTTTGAGTCAGATCGAATACCTGAAACAAGAGTAATCACATTGTATGAAATCATGATACCGGACAGAGACTCATGGAACAGCGGAACACTAGCACACATGCCTCCGGGGAACTGTTGTTACACGGATGGATCTCGGCTAGCGGGAAAGACGGGACTGGGACTTTTTATTGAAGAACCGGGGACTGAAATTTCTCTTCGCCTGCCAGATCTCAATACGATACTACAGGCGGAGGTTCAAGCTATAACGGAGTGTCTAAGATGGTTAAGCTCTAACTCAGGGCATAATAACATAAACATCATGACAGATAGTAAACATGCTATTAATGCAATATCATCCAAAACAGTTACATCAAAAACTGTATTGGAATGCGTAAAAACAATAAACAACTTCTCACGACACGGTCTTGTACGTATAATATGGGTACCGGGTCACTCAGGAGTCATAGGAAACGAGATAGCCAACCAACTCGCCAGACGTGCTACTGACCTAATCAACATAGATGTGAACAGTGCAAAACCTTTTAGCGCGTCACGTCTAGAAATGAGGTCATGGGCGAAAGAGGCGCACAAAACACTCTGGAATAACGAGAGGATTGGAAAAAACACAAAAATCTTATGGGGAGACCCAAATGAGGATAAGACTAAGCAAATACTTACGCTAAACAAGAAAGAATTAAGCAGACTGATAGGCATTCTTACAGGACATCTTAACCTGCAGTCACACCTACACAAGATTGGGTGCTCGGGAAGTAGCAGGTGCAGAGCGTGTGGGGAAGACAACGAAACGTTGGAACACTTCCTATGTCACTGCCCGGCCTTTGCATGCATTCGAACCCAATTCTTGAAAATCGACACTATTCCTGAACTAAATGACCTAAGGGGGTGTGAATG